GATAGTAGATACTCTTTCATGATTAGGTTACACTGGCTTTTTAAAAAAGGTTTATTTATTTACCTATGTACTATTACTCGAAAAGGAGATTTACAGAGAGAAGGAGAGAGAGGAAGATCTTCCATCCATTGGTTCACACTCAAATGGCCACAATGACTGGAGCTGAGCCGGTCTGAAGCTGGGAGCCAGGAGCTTCTTCTGAGTCTTCCACGTAGGTGCAGGTTTCCGAGGCTTTGGGTCGTCATCTGCTGGTTTCCTGGGTATATTAGGAGGGAGCTGGCTGGGAAGTGGAACAGATGGGACTTGCACTGGCACCCATATGGGATTGCTACAGTGCTGGAACCAGGTCTTCTAATTCCTCATCCCTCTCCCTTCCCTCCTTCCTCCTCCCTCCTCCACTTCCTCTTCTTTCCGTATCCCTCTTTTTCTCCTCCCTCCTTTTTCCTCTTCCCTTCTCTCCTTCTTCGTCCTGTTCCTCCCTCCTCCTCCCCCACTTCCTTCTCCAACCTCCTCCACTCCCTCTTCCTCCTCTTCCTCCTCCTCCCTCCTGGTTATTCCTCCTTCCTCTTTCCTCCTCTCCTCTTCCTCCTCCCTGCCTTTCCTCCTCCCCTTCCTCTCCCTCCTCCCTTCTCCTCTCTCCACCTTTCTCCTCCCTTCTCCTCTCTCCTCCCTCCTTTTTCTCCTTTTAAAAAAGATTTATTTATTTGAAAGGCTGAGTTAGAAGAGAGACAGAGAATGACAAGGAAATGTATTCCATTCACTGGTTCATTCTTGCAAATGACTGCAACTGCTGATCCTGTGCTAAACCAAAGCAAGGAGCCTGAAGCTTTTTCCAGGTCTCACATGTAAATGAAGGGGACCAAACCCTTGGACCTTCTTTCACTGCTTTTTCAGACACATTAACAGGAACCCAGCTTAGAAATGGAGCAGCCAAGATTCAAACTGGTGACCATATGGGATGCAGCACTGCAGGCAGTGGCTTAAAATGCTGTGCCACAGCACCTGCCCCATAGGTCTTATTTTTTTTTTAATTTATTTATTTTTATTGAAAAGTCAGATTTACAGAGAGAAGGAGATACAGAGAGAAAAATTTTCCATACACTTGGTCACTCCCCAAGTGGTCACAACAACCAAAGCTAAGCCAATCCAAAGCCAGGAGCTTCTTTTCTTGGGCCGTCCCTGACTGCTTTCCCAAGCCACAAAAAGGGAGCTGGATGGGAAGTGGAGCAGCCAGCACACAAACTGGTGCCCATATGGGATGCTGGCACATGCAAGGTGAGAGTTTTAGCCACTAGGCTATTGTACCAGACCCCCTTTTATTTTTAAAGATTTATTTATTTTTATTGCAAAGTCAGATGTACAGAGAGGAGGAGAGATAGAGAGGAAGATCTTCTGTCCAATGATTCGCTCTCCAAGTAACCACAGTGGCTGGAGCTGTGCCGATCCGGAGCCAGGAGCTGCTTCTGGGTCTCCCACATAGGTGCAGGGTCCCAAAGCTTTGTGCCATCCTTGACTGCTTTCCCAGGCCACAAGCAGGGAGCTGGATAGGAAGTGGAGCAGCACAAATCAGCTCCTTTATAGGTTGCTGGCATAGCAGGCAGAGAATTAGCTTAATGCACCACCATGCTGACCCCTATTTTAATTTTTCTAAGATTTGTTTTTCTTAAAAGGTGTACAGAGAGAGAGCGCTTCCATTCAGTGGTTCACTCCCCATATGTGTGCAACAGCCAGAGCTGAGCTGGGCTGAAGTCATGAGCCAGAAGCTTCCTACAGGTCTCCCACATGGGTACGGGGCCCAAGAACTTGCCATCTCTGCTGCTTTCCCAGTCCATTGGCAGGGAGCTGGCTCATTAGTGGAAGAGCTGGGACCTGGCTTAATCTGCTATGCCATAAACACTGGCCAGGGCATTCATTGTTTTTTAGAATTCTGTTTATTGGCTTGTTATAACAGCTATTCCTTCCAACACCATATCTCATTTTTTCTTTTCCACTTTTATCCTCTTGTTTTACATTTACTTCATTACTGTAAATTCCACAATGCATTATTATGTTTTATTTGGAAGAGTCAACCATCTTTTAAACAGTTTATAAGGAGAAAAATGTGTCATTTGTATTTATCCTCATGTGCCGCTTTTGATTCTCTCAATTCTTTTGTTTAGATCGATGTTTCCATCTGGTCCTTATTTTGTAGACTGCAAAACGTGAACATTTCATATGATGTGAGTGGAACCAATTTCATGAGCATAGGAGTTGTGACGTCCTACCCTCAAAAGGCTCTGTAGGGTTTTTGTGTTCTATGTGGTTATCTTGAAAATTCCTGAGGATTTTATTTTCACATTTGTTTTATAAATGAGATCTGAGGGACAGTGGCATGTGCACCAGCGGCCTGTAGCCTCAGTTCATGTGTCAGCTAGCCTCCTGCCTGCCTCCCAACGAGGCGTTCTTGGCTCTTCTGAGCTCAGCTCCCCAGCACAGCTGGCCCCGCTTGGTTTCCCTACTCACCTTCTCCCACACAGCATGGCTACCCTTAATCCTCGTGGGAAGTCTGGGTGTGTGAAGGTTGAGGTTGGGTGTGCATGCTCATGGTATCTTGGGAGAGACCATGACAAAAGCTGCCTCGCCCCGAACTGGCAGCATCATGGGAAAGCTGGTGGGCAGCGAGGCAGAAGCCTTAACCTTTGCAGAGGCAGTCTTCCTGCTATTCCTGATCTCGGTACTGGATAGAAATTGAAAGATCCCTGGGGGCTGTCTAGCATGGGTTGAAGCAGCACATCTGTGGGATGGAGAGACACAGACTGAACTTTTCTAGGCACTGCCCCAGCCCAGGCATGGGTTGTTACTTTGATGGCTGGCAGAAGGGAGAGTTTAGCCGGTATTAGATTCAAGTGAGCATGTCTGAGCCTCATATCACTCTGTTGAGGTTCCGGGTTCTAATTGAGGATCTGGGCTCACCCCACAATTATCTTCAGGCTTGAGAAAACTCTCTCAGCTGATTCTGGGCCTGGGAGGAGTTCCTCTTCCTCCATCTTCTAGCCATCCAAAGTCTTTTTTTTTTTTTTTCCAAGATGTGTTTGTTTTTTTGGAAGGCAGATTTTATAGATAGAGAAGGAGAGAAGAGAGTTATCTTCCATCAGCTGGTTCACTTCCCAAATGAATGTAATGGCCAAAGATGAGGCTGTCTAAAGCCAGGAACCAGGAGTTTCTTCTGGGTCTTCTACTCCTACAAGGGGATGTGGGCACCTTAAGTGGTTTCTTAACCCAGTGTGTGAAGTAAAATCAGGAACTTGGAATTAAAATTAGGTCTCCCACATGGGTGATAGGAACCTAGCCATGTGACCCGTCACCTGTTCTCTCCCAGGATATGAATTAGGAGGAAGCCAGCTCAAATGTGGAGGATACGAAGCCTGATACAGGCTGCATGCTGCCCCAGTGGCATCTTTGCTGTGTCAAAACCTGCCTCATCCTCTGCCTTTGTCTTTTTTTTTTTTTAAGATTTATTTATTTTTATTGGAAAGGCGGACATACAGAGAGGAGGAGAGACAGAGAGGAAGATCTTCCATCCAACAATTCACTTCCAAAGCGGCCACAACAGTTGGAGCTGAGCCAATCTGAAGCCAGGAGCCAGGAGCTTCTTCCATGTCTCCCACGTGGGTGCAGGGTCCCAAGGCTTTGGGCTGTCCTCGACTGCTTTCCCAGGCACAAGCAGGGAGCTGGATGGGAAGCAGGGCCGCTGGGATTAGAACCAGCGACCATATGGGATCCTGGCGCGTGCAAGGCAAGGACCTTAACCACTATGCTATTGTGCTGGGCCCTGCCTTTGTCTTTTTATCAGAAGTTGTGGGTTAGGCATTTGTCGTAGTGGTTGAAAATGGTGCTTGAGATGATTGCTCCCATATTGCCTGGATCTGTGTGTCCTAGCCCTTCTCCCAGTCCTATCCTCCTGCGAGGCAGCAGGTGATGGACCCTGCCATCCCCATGCAGTTCCTGGAACAATGAGCAGCTGGCCCATCCCTGGCTATCGTATGCATCTGGGAAGAGAGTTAAAAGATGAAAGATCTTCTCACCAATCCTCTCTGTTTCTCTGCCATTTAAATAACATAAAAAATTTTGTTTTTAAAGTTCTGTCCAATACCTTTGCTGTTTTAGACTTTTGTTATTGTTATGTTTTTTCTCTATCCACATGGATTTTAATTTCTTATTTTTTAAGATTTATTTATTTATTTGAAAAGTTAGGGTTATATAAAGAGAGGGATAAAAAAAAAAAACACCAGTCCCAATTTCTTAAGGTTTTAAAGAATTATTTTCTTGGGCATCTGTTGTGGCATGGTGGATAAAGCTGACATCTGCAACACAAGCATCCTATATGGTACTCCACTCTTGATCCAGCTTTTTGATAATGAACCCGGGAAAGCAGCAGGGACTGCCCCCAAATGCTTGGGCCCCTACACAGATGTGGGAGACCAGGAAGAAATTTCTGGCTGCTGGCTTTGGGCTGGCCCACCCCTAGCCTTAGTAGCCATCTGGTGAGTAAACCTTTGGATAGAAGATCTCTCTGTCTCTCCCTCTCTCTCTGTATCTCTGCCTTTTAAATAAGTAAAGTCAATAAATAAATAAGCGATTTTCTTTGCATCAGATTATCCCCATTGTTTAGTGGCTGGCAAAGTCAGCTTGCCTACAGACTTGTGGGAATGGCTTGGGTGAAAGTTGATGCAAGTCCTGATTAGCAGTTGCTCTGTCAAGAAAATTGGTGTGTGTGTGTGTGTGTGTGTGTGTGTGTGTGTGTGTGTGTGTGTGTGTGTGTGTGTGTGTGTGTGTGTGTGTGTCAGTTTTAGTCAGCTGTCCTCCCAGAGCTGGGCTAAGAGATCTTCCTGCCCGTCAGTTAATCAGGGCTGCACAGACAGTGCTCCGGAAGGATGACCCCTACCTCAGGAAGTTTTGAATCAGCTGCTATTTATAATCAGTATAGAGTAGGACTTGAGTTCGGGTCTTTACCCAGTTGATAGGAAAAGGCCTGTGCCAAGTTTTGTGTTTGAGGAAACAGTGTATGGGCCTAAAACAGTGAAGTGTCTGTGAGAAAGGAAGGAACGTGATAATGACTGTAAGTATTTTTGCTGATTTGGGTCAAGGGTGTGGTGGTAGAGATGTAGGAAGTTCAGGGATAAAGTAAGTTATTACGTTTTAGAGCAGCTGATAGCTCATAGGCACCTGGGCTTTCTGTAGCCTGATGTGTATGGAATCCTGTGCTGCTGATAGTGAAGTTGAAATAAGAGCTTGTGACAGTGTAGTATAATCTGTCAGCATGAGATGGGAGTAGGAAAATATCTCCTAGTGTGTTTCCAGACGGCTGACTCTTGCTGGATATGTACAGAACTTTTTTGGTTATTTGAGTTTTATTCCTGAGTATGCATTATTTTAGAATACAGCATAGGTTCTTGTGGTCAGTAGGAGGTTCCATAACAGATTGATTTTGTATAAAAGAATACTGTATACTCCTTATAAAACCTCATTCTGCTTAACTTTAGGAAGCTAAATATGGTAGTATTTTAAAGTTCATGGTTTCAAAGATATCATAAAAATATTTTCTTAGTATTAGTATATGACCATCTTAGGAGTACCTTTATGGAGTTGAATTCTATATTTTAATATATGCAATGTGAATTAGTTATTTTTTTGATTAATAGTCAACATTGTATTGGGTTTTAATTTGGAAATTGTAAGATTGTGTTAACATATTGTTTCATTTTAATAGGATTATTCAAGATAGCCATTTTTAACAAGGATCTGTGAACTACTCTCTTTTTCGAAAGAGATTTCTAACTTAAACATGAAAAGGAAATATTGGGACCATTTGGATGCTGACAGGATAAAGAACACAGTATTTCACAGCTACTTGTAATGGAACCTTTGTGAGAGTCAGTATTTGTCATGCACCCAACTGGGAACATGGATGTTGGTTTCTCCCGTTCTGCTGTTCAGACACTGTCAAGAAGCCACTGCAAAAACATCAAACAGAAAATTTCTCAATGGGAAGGAAGGGCCAATGGTGTGTCTAACCCAGTGAAGTGGCATCCAAAGGACTTCGGAGTGAAATATAACTGTCACCAAGACAGCTTTCCTAAGAAAAGTGCTGTTTCTGAGGAACAGAGCAAAGAGCTGGACGTAACCAACTCTCAGGATGTGGGACTGGATTTGAATGAAGATGCCAAAAGCTTTGATCAAAGCGAGGAGGAAAGCGAGACACATGAACTTAGCACACATTTCTTGAAAAATGAATCAGAATCCAATTGGGTATGTTCTCGTGTGAAACAAATTGAAAACTGGAAAGAAGTTGTTTTACATCCAGACACTTCCTTACCTCCAGGAAACCTCTATACCTCGCAGATATTGTGGAAGAAAATTGAATCACTTCCTCCCAATAAAATCTTAAATTTGGCCTTAGAGCGTTGTGACTCTTCGGGAAAAGAACCTCATTTCAGGGTTCTGGACAGTTCATATGGAATTACTAAGAGCTTAGAAAATATTTACTCTGAACCAGAGGGTCAAGAGTGTGGGTCTTCTATAAATCCTTTGCCAAAACCTCGTAGGACATTCAGATATCTGTCTGAATCTGGTGTTATGCCAGGTAAAGAAAGAAACTGTGAGAAAAAATACTGTGAAAGTAATTCTTGCACCGCGTCTTCTTTGGCTTCCTCTCGGGACCCTGAACCAAAGAAATATGGTGGAAAAATCAGAGGGCGATCTAAAAGGTATAGTTTTTTTTTTTTTTAAATCCTGTAGCAAGTGATCTAAGTATTTTCCTTATAGGTTTATTATAGGCTTTTTTCCTTCTCTGACCCATTTACATTTCTCATGTAAATGTTAACACTTGGAAAAAGTAGAAACAGCAATAGCTAAGACAGTCTGCTGACCTGACATCAGAACTGTAAGGAGACAAGAACATTCTTCCATTTTAGGACATGCTGGCCTTAGCTCCACCTTTCATTAGGGAGTAAATTTATAAAGGGACCAGGTGGAGAATATGAAGGTGATTGCAGGTCTCCATTTTGCCATGGTGCAAACAGGGCCCCCAACCTAGTGTGTTATTCTTAGCTTGTTAATAAAATTACTTTGTAATTTTGTGTGTAAGTCCTTTTTAAAAATTTGTTTCTATCAATTTAAAGGTTAGAATTTTGAACACTAAAACTTTAAATGTATCTCCTTCTCTAAGGAAATCCTTTGAATTTGAGGATATTCAGCACTTTCGAAATCGGAACTCACAGAAGATTCATGAAGAACTGGGAAGAAATTCTGGTTCAGCACTTTATTACACGCAATCCGAGGATAATATCTATGAGGATATCATATGTAGGTGTCCACAACTTTGCAATTAAATATAATGAGTATGCATTTGTCGAAACCCTTAATTGTAGGATGGCATTTTCTTTTACAATCAAGCCTGCCATGCTCTAGGCTTTCCTTTGGTGTATAAAGTCTTTTATTCTTTAATGAATTTTACAACTGGTATAATGGAATGCTCAGTTCAGAAGATGTTTATAGTATAGCATTTTGAGAGTTTTTATGACTTGATTGGGCATTACCCCAGGTTTATGAGCTTAAAGTGTCATTGATCTTCAGACCCACATCGCTGTAGCAGTGTAGAATGTGAAAGCTGGTGATGGTCAGGTTTTGTTTCTTTTGCTAGCTGTAGTCACTCTGTTGTTATTTATTGATGTTCTTCTAAGCCTTGTTTGTCCCACTAATTTTCAAGATCCTGCCAAAGAAAATGCCTATGAAGATATTCCAGTGCAGCCTCTACCCATGTGGAGATCCCCTTCAGCATGGAAGCTGCCACCCCCTAAAAATGCTTTCAGAACACCCAAGGTATAACCAGAGGACTAAATGAAGAAAACATTGAATTCCTGCTTGTTATCTCTATAGAAAGTTAAGATGATTTCACTGGGGCCAGAATCAAAAGGCATTGAAATGTAGATGTTATGGTTGGTGAAGGATTTTTTTAAAAGCTTTGTTTATTTATTTGACAGTTAAAGAGAGAGAGATAGAGAGAGAGATGGAGATCTGCCATGTGCTATTTCATTCCCTAGTTGGCTATAATAGCTGGGATTGGGCCAGGTTGAAGCCAAGAGCCAGGAGCGTCTTCTCAGTCTTATGGATGGCAGGGGCCCAGTCACTTAGCCCATCTTCCACTGCTCTTCCCAGGCCATTTGGAGGGAGCTGGATCGAAAGTGGAGCAGCAGGGACAGGAACTGGCATCCATGTGTGTGCTGGTATTGCAGGTGGCTCTACCTGCCATGCTACAAGGCTGGCCCCTGGTAGATGACACTTGTTTCCTGTTTTATCTCTTGGACCACACAGCTCATTTTGTTTGTTTAGTGGTTGCTTAGCCCATCAAAAATGCTGAATAGGAATACCTTTAGATAAGCTGTGACTTCTTATGCTTGCCACTCCCACTGCGTTTTACATTATTAATCTGGAGCCTAAATTAACCTGCATGGGCTCAGGACGCATCATAGCCCACTAGAAGCAAAGGTACCCTTCAGATTCAGTGCTCAGAGCAGTTTTCCAGGCACTTGATTGCGTTATAGTAGAAGAACTTTAGATTAGAAACCTGAGAAACTTTACAAACTGGTGAAAAAGAAATTATTATATCTCCATTTGAGGCTATTCAAAAGGAAAGACAAGATATACTTTTTTTTCCTGGAATATCTTTGATTTTGTATGAGAACACAGGTCTTAACCAGATGATACTTCATCTTACCAGTACATCCTCTCCTGTTTTAGCTTCCTCCCAAACCTCTGTTCCTGCACCGGAAGACAATGGAACTGAAAAACTCGCAAGCTTGTTTGCGGTCGAAGCTCACCAAGGATACCACTTTACCTGTTACGTTAACTGAATGGAAGCTTTTCAGAGCTGGGGAAGTTGCAAACAGGAAAAGGAGAAATCTTCCAAGGGTGAGGATTCCAGTATTTTCACGCTTCAACTCTTAACTTCAGCTTTTCAATAAAAGAATAAGTAAGCTTTATTTACTGAAATGAATAATGGGTTGGAATTAGAAGATTTGGAAAGCAGCACTCATTTTTTGGTATCTGATTTTAGCTGATTTTAGACAAAAGTCACAGTTGTTTATTGGGTTAGTAAATGCTGATTGCCTCCTTGGGAAATACTCTGTTCCAGAATTCATGAACTTTTTCGGATGTTTCCTGCCCCAACCTTTAAATATGTGAAAAGTTGAAGACACCGTTGGTAGAAAGCACTGAACTGATCTCTCTCCATGAGAGAAAGAGAGAGAAAGGCTTTTTATTTGCCCATGATGGTGAGGGATATTTAAAAACCACATTTAGAGAACCTCCAGGCATCCTGCAGCTGCTGTCTCCTCTGGTAGAAATGCTGGTACAATAAAAACAGCTTCTGTCACAGAAAAAAAACAAAAAAACAAAAACAACCCCAGATCATGTGTTCTTAAGACACAGACACCTAAGGGACTGCATTGAAGACCTGATCCTTGGAATGGCCAAAACAGATATTTAGGAGTTATGGATTGTAGAGTTTAATGAGCCCCACAGAGAGCTTGCAGTACTGTTGACCTCATGCTTCGGTATTTTACGTATGCTAGATCTTTTGAATTCAGGGCTTATTGCTTTTATGATTAGAGTGATAAATCCAACTTTTCCTTTTCTGACACTTCCCCAACCGTTTCTGGGAAAGTGGGAGAAAGAAAATGGTGATGCACTCTTGAATGTTAAGCAGAAACAGGTTATTATCCTTTCCTTCTGTAATCCTCCTTGGATGACATCCTGTTTGGATGTCTCATATGCAATGCACATTTGGGCTTTGGATTATCTTCAAGAACAACATTCCATAAGAAGAGTTTCATTTATTTCCCCTGTAATGACTACAGCTGTCCCTGGAAGGGGAACTTCACTGTTTAGAAATCAATGCTCTAGTTCCTATGTTTCTTTCCCATCCTTTCTTTCTCTTCCTATTATTGCAGCCTGGGTTTGCTAGAGTCATTTCCCATTGTTATATATTGTTTGCATCTAGTTTCACAGCAGTATGGTTTCTATCGTTTCTTAGAATAACCTACAGTATTTCCTGTAACTTGAAGGTATGTGTAGACTCCTCTTCCTAGCTCCCAATCATAATTTAAATTGATCAGTTTAGCTCATATTTCTGGAATAGATGGCCCCCTTCCCTTTATATATTCAAAATCTACCTTAAATACATTTACTTTCTTGAGACACAGAGAAGAGAGCTGAGGACTCTTAGAGCTCCCATTCACTGCGTTACTCCCCAAATGCCTGTAATGTCTCAGGTTGGGCCAGGCTTACGCTTGAAGCAAGAACCCAATCCATGTCTCCCATGAGAATGGCAAATATCCAACTACTTAGCCATAGCTCACTACATCCCGGGTTTGTACTAGCAGGAAGCAGGAATCAGGAGCAGATTGAGGACTCAAACCCAAGTACTGAATATGGAATGCGGGCAGTCACAACTGGTGTCTCTAACTTCTAAACCTTTTGTCAACCCCGTTGGATTATACTTCAAATACATATTACTGACTACACAATTTGGGGTCATTGTGTACCTAAATATGTTACTCCTGTAGATCTTCCCTATGCTCCATAATGCTAGCTTTGTTATTTTGATTTTATTTGGTTTTTGTTATGGTAGTGCTTAAGAACGTTAACAATTTTTTGGCTTGAATGCAAACTGCAAAAATCTTAGTTTTGTTTTGTTTTAGATTTACATATTTATTTGAAAGAGTTGTAGAGAGAGGCAAAGACAGAAAGAGAAAGCTCTTCAGTCTGTTGATTCACTGCCTAACTGGTCACAACAGCAAATGCTGGGCCAAGCCAAAGTTGGGAGCCAAGAGCTTCCTCTGGGTCACCCACAGTGGTAGCAGAGGCTCAAGTTCTTGGGCTGTTTTCTGCTGCTTTTCCTGGGTTACCAGCAGGGAACTTGGTCAGAAGTGGAACAGCCAGGACATGAACTGGTACTCAGGGCATGCTGACATTGCAAGTGGTAGCTTTACCCATTACCTCACAACACCAGCCCCTGTAGAACTCTGTTTAAGAGGAAAAAAATTCATCAAAATTGTGGGAATAATTTGCCTGTTGGGAGCACGTATTTCTCGCTTGTCGTTTCTTGTACTGGACTGATTCACTGCCCAGTTGGTTGTTCCCAGGATTGCTAAAGAAAGTATTGCAAAAGATAAGACGAGTATTTTTCTCAGGTAGCCTTGTTGCTTGTAATTTTATTTAATCTTTTTAATAAATGTAATTATAGACATTAGATATGTTAAATCAAGATTAATACTTAACACAAAGTAGAAATTTTTAAAAAGGATGTGTACATGGAAAAAATTAATCCACTTCTTTTTAAAATGTATGTGTTGTGCCCGGTGCCATAGCCTAGAAGCTAAAGTCCTTGCCTTGCATGTCCGGGTTCCCATATGGGCACCAATTAGTATCCCAGCTGTTCCACTTCCCATCCAGCTCCTTGCTTGTAGCCTGGGAAAGCAATCATGTGGGAAACCCAGAAGAAGCTCCTGGCTCCTGGTTTTGGATCAGTTTAGCTCTGGCTTTTCCGGCCACTTGGGAAGTGAACTAGCGGATGGAAGATCTTTCTGTTTTTCCTTCTCTCTGTAAATCTGACTTTCCAATTTAAAAAAAAAATGAAAAAAAGTATGAGTTGGTTGTTCCATTTCTTTCCATTTTTATCTGTATATGTCTCTGTTTCCTTTTGCCCCACTTTCTCTCACTTACACAAATACACACAACCTTCTGACAGCAGCAAAGAAAAGAATTTTAATAAAGAATGCTTACTAAGTAGAGAGAAGCCATTATGTAACAACTTAAAAGCAAATGATCTGGGTTCTAATTGCTTGAGATCTGGAGTGATTAGTCGAGGAGCTGAGTGTAGTTTTCACACTTGAGTGTATTTCAGCATTTCTTATCTTTAGGACAGTTGTAGGGTTAGTGCTGCAAGGAGCGAGGGTTTCCATTGACAGGCTTGCGCAGTGTGAGTATTCTCTTTGGGGAGAGTTCCTGGCAGCAGCTCTAGCTGAGCCCCACCCTGCCTTCCAAGTAAATGAGTGTTCCTTCCGCTTCCCTCTCTGGGCAGGCAGAAACTTGGGTTGAATGGTCAAGGCTTGGTCTCTGTGTGGAGTACAGCAGTCACGGCTTCTACATTCTGTGTCTTGGAATGACAGGAATCTTTCTAAAACCTCATTGTAGGTTCTTCAGGAGAGGAGATACCTGTTCCTATGTCTCTTAGCCATGTTACATGGTCTTCGTACTGGAACAACAAATCATCCAACTAAAGATTAGCATTTAAATTCAAAATTGAAAGCCCTAGAGGTTTTATTTGTAAGATCTCTCCTCTGAATAAGGACCCCCTAATTATAATGTCATCAGGCTATATCGTTTTTTAATACTGGTTTTTAATTTGTATTTTTCTGATCCTTTCCAGCTTGTTTTGAAAATAGATGACATATTTGAATCTAAGAGAGGGAAGAAGAGGGTAAAGTTACTTCCTTACACTGGAAAAGAGGCACCTTCTTCAAAAGGTATGAATTCTGTTCTGTTCACGCCATCTGGGCTGTCAGCGTAGGAGGGAAAATCATTATGTACCTTAATGTTTGATATGTATTAACATTTTTGTTTTACTTTCTTGTTGATCCAACATAAGTATAAACTGCTTTAGGATGAGGAATAGTTTCTCAAATCCTTTTCTGTGTCAAGTGATAGCTATTAGATGAATGAATAAGTAAGTGAAAAAATACTTGCAACTTAATGAAACTCATTTGAATGGTTTGAATCGCTGTTTTGCATTTCTTTGTTGATTTGTAGGCAGTTACCAGTATAAATTGACTCTGCGTGTGGAAATGAAAGTATTAGGTAGGCGAAGGCTGAAGCTCTCAAACATGCAGGCATCCCCGTAGTGGGTGCTACACTACAGCACCCACCCCTGAAATGCTCTGAAATGTCTGTTTTACAGTTTAACACTTCACTATCTCAAAGTAACTTACAACTGAAGATTTCTTTTTTGTTCTCTATGATGATTAAAATCAACTGGCCACCATTTTTAATGCAAAATTTCATATTTTTTTAAGCTTTATTTATTTGAAAGGCAGAGTGACAGAGAGAAAATCTTGTATCCATTGGTTCACTCCCCAGATGACTGCAGCAGTCAAGGCTGGTCCAGGCTGAAACTGGAGCCAGGAACTGCAGCCAGGTCTGCCCTGTGAGTGGCAGGAGCCCAAGCACTTGGGCCGTCCACTGCTGCTTTCCCATTGGCATTAGGAGGGAGCTGGACCAGAAGCAGAGCAACCGCAACTAGAACAAGCACTCTGATGTGGGATGCCAGTGTCACAAGTGGCAGCTTAACGTGCCGTGCCACGATGCTGGCCCCTTTTCACTGACTGTTATTAAAAGATATTTCACTCATTTTCTCAATGAAAGAGATACTTTTGGTTATTCTTATTAATAATCATTTCTATTTGTTGAATAATAGTTTTTTTTTTGGAAGATTTACTTATTTTTATTGGAAAGGCAGATTTGTAAAGATTTTCTATCCACTGGTTCACTCCCCAAGTGGCTACAATGACTAGGGTAGAGGCGATCTGAAGCCAGGAGCCAAGAACCTCCTCCGTCTGCCATGTGGGTCGGGGGGACCTGAGCACTTGAGCCATTCTCCGCTGCCCTCCCAGGTGCATTAGCAGGGAGCTGGATCTGTAGTGGAATGGCCAGGACTTGAACCAGTTCCATAGGAATCGAGTTAACCTACAGCCTCAACAATAGCCCCAAAGAACTGCCCTCATTTTGCAGACAAACTAGCTGAGCCTGAAGAGCATGGATTTGAATTGAGGCACGTGGCTGCACAAAGTGCTATCCTTTTCTTTCAGCAAACAGTTAACACCGTGTTTTTCTCATAAACCTTGATGTTTAGAAGTTTCTCTCCTTTGCACTTATCCTCAATGAGGATGTTATCAAAGGCTTTTGTTTATGTAATTTTAGGACTAGATGCAGAAACTAGAAACTAATGCTAGATATCATGGTGAATCTTTTCTTATACATTATTATTTTATTTTTAAAATCTTTTAAATATATTTTTATTTTTATATTTATACTTTTTGATGCGTCAGTATTAATCTTTTTAAAGATTTTTAAATTTATCGGAAAGTCAGATATACAGAGAGGAGAAAAGACAGAGAAGATCTCCCATCTTCTGGTTCACTCCTCAATTGGCTGCAACCACCAGAGCTGAGTTGATCCAAAGTCAGGAGCCAGGAGCTTCTTCTAGGTCTTCCACTTGGGTGCAGAGACCAAATTCTTAGTCCATCCTCAGCTGATTTCCCAGACCATCAGCAGGGAGCTGGATTAGAAGTGGAGCAACCAGGGTAATAAGCAGTGCCCATATGGGATGCCAGAAACACAGGCAGGGGATTAGCTTGCTATACCATCACGTTGTGCCCCCTTCCCAACTGTTTAATTATTGAAAAGAAAACAATTCTTCAGTAGCTAGAATTGCCAACCTCTAACACACATGCATAAAAACGGTAGTCCCTACATCGTAACCCTTTCCAAAACGTTGGTTTTATTTTGCAGAGAAAATAAGCGTTTGCTCAGTCTCCCTGATGGTTCCTCCAGTGGGCCAGAGGAGTTTCTCTCCTGCCACAGATCCCTGGCTCATTCATCTTGCTCCTCACATTCCAATGTTCCTCCTCAAGTGTTTGCCAGCACATCAGCAGTGCCTAATAACACAGGAAACGCACACTTACCTATTCTGTCAGAGCATGCCAGAGTTTGCCAAATAAATTCCAACCTCAGTATTTCTTAGTTTACAGTTTTCAGGTGTTGCGAAATGATATGTTGCTATTCTTCAGTTCTGTGTAGTTCAATGTACTGAAATCACCAATCAAAAAGGGACAACCTAGTACTTTTTTGGTCCATAGAGACTGAAATTAATAGATTCCCCTAGTGATTTATAATCCCCTCAACCTTCATTCAGTATGTCATCAAACCTGTGAATGTCAAAATGCGAAAGTCACTTGGAAGGTCCTTACTGGTTATACTGACTTTGCTTCCTCTCTTTGTCCTTTTCTTTCTTTCTAATTGCTTCATAAGCATTTAGGAGGTGCCTGCTTCTAAGGACACATATTTTTCTATACAAAAAGTCTTACAGCTCATACTATTCAGAGTTTGAATGTTTCCCCTTAAAAAAATTAATGGATTTTAGAACTATTTTCAGTACCAACCTACAGAAATCCACATAGCTATACCATCAGTATATAGTTATAAAAGAATTTTAGCTGTTTCTAATATTTATTTAACCTGTGGACATTTAAAGAGAGAATGAACACACGTGCATCCATAGTAGCATCTTGACCTCTATGCCAAACACCTGCTACGTATAGAAACTAACTTTATATAATCAAATATATATATATATATTTTCAGTTATGATTTCTAGGCCTGGTTTTTTTCTGGAACATCTACAATTTTACTCTTTGCATTCTTCTTATTTTGCTTTAACTTTCAGAGATAATCCAAACTGTTTTTTTATTCATTTATTCAAAACCCATTTTCCTCCTAAATCATGTATCCAGAATTGTAGAACACTCCCTTGTGAAACAACATAGCCTGTTATCCTCAAGAGACTTAAAACCTTACTGGGTGTCCTGTTGTTGTCCATATGGGCATCCATTTGTGTCCCAGCTGCCCCACTTCTGTTCCATCTCCCTGCTGAGAGCATGAGAAAAACAGAAGATGGCCCAGGAGTTTGCGCTCCTGGTACCCATGTGGGAGACCTGGGAGAAGCTCGTGGTTCCTGGCTTCAGCCTGGCGCAGTGCTGGGCCTTTATGGCCACTGGAGGAGCAAATCAGCAGATGGAAGATCTCTTTGTAACTCTGACTTTCAAAATAAACAAATAAATCATTTCTAAAAAGGCATATTGGGGAAAATAAGAACAGTTCAAATCAGTTTGAACATTAAGAAAATTCATGATGGAGTCAGCACTGTGCCACAACACAGTAAGCCCCCCTGTGGCAGCTGATTTGAGTCCCAGCTGCTACAACTCCCGTCCAGCTCCCTGCTAATGTACTTGGGAAAGCAGAGGAGGATACCGAGTGGACACCCAGGTGAACCTCCTGGTTCATGACTTCCGCATGAACCAGCCAGCTGGGGACTGAACCAGCAGATGAAAGATTTTTGTGTCTCCCCTTCTCTCTCTTGACTTCAAATAAATAATGAGTGAATCTTTTAAAAAAATGAAATTCATGGTGAAGGAAAGGTCAAGATGGGTTACAAGTAGCTTAGAGGCATCCTGGAAGAGCCTTCCTGGTAACCTGTCTCTTCTGGCTCCCGCATTTTCTATTCTGATTTTATTGTCTTACTCAGATTTTTGTTGCATTTGCTTGATGGTCCTGCATTAGATACTTTATTTGGGAATACATAGACAAGGATATGAATGTAGAAACAGACTTCACTCTGAAAAACAGATTCTAAACTAATCAAAATGAAAGCTGTTGAGTGAGTTAGAGTCTTTTGCAATAGATCACCTTTATACAGGGTTTTGTCTTCAATGGTTTTAGGGTTAACTGTAGCCCAAAAACATTAAATGGAATATTCCACAAGTAAATACTTTTTAAGTATTAAATTGCACATTATTCTGAGTTGCATGATATGAAATCTGACACCATCTGGCTGCAGCCCGCCTGGGACATGAATCATCTCTTTGTCCACCATATCCACAGCATCACAGAAAGCTGTGTTCAAGTGACCCCTCAGAGTGGCCAGACTCTGCTCCCAATGCCTACATATTCACCTAAGTTCATCTCATGCTGTAGGCCCTGTACTGTCATGAGAAGGGTGAGGTCAGTGCCGTAAGCTGCTTTGAGAGATGCCATATCCATGTAACTTGTGTGGCAGTGCATTGCTACAACTCTTTTGTTTTATTACTAGTTAGTCTCTTGTTGTGCCTAATTTATAAATTTAACATCTTCATGGGTAAGTATGTGTAGGTAAAAGCTTAGAGATACTTTCAGGCATCCAATGGGGTCTTGGGAGACAACTCCTTACAGATAAGGTGTGACTGGCTTATTCTCTTTTGGGACTCTTGCCAACCTGGTGGAACTAAGTGGTTTGGGAACAGACTCTGCGTCCTTATTTGTCCTTACTTCAAGTCCCCAGGTCGGTGGAGGTTTTACATTGCTCACATCTTCCTGCACTTCCTGCTGTTTGACAATGCATATGGCAATCCTTCCTCTCTTTTCAGGTGAAACCAGTGGGAACGAAAGTGATGCCGAGTATCTGCCAAAGAGTGAGTGAGTCAATGGGGCTGCTCCCTTTCCCGTGATGATTATGGTTCTGGGTGGAGCGGCCCCAACCTTGGTGATTAAACATGTTTTCCCCACTTGAAGTTTCATTTTGTTGGCGATTTCTTCATTTTCAGAACCTGTTGAGATTTAGGGAACAGAACAGTATACTGACAGATGTGTGACAGTGTAGAAAATCTTTTAGAGTGGAGTGAGGTCAACCCGCGTGGCTTTTAGAGTGGAATGTTCTTGGGGGAACAGCACAACTCTGCAAGTCTAGACATTTATGCAGTAGTTTCCTGGCAGCCAAAACACCGTACATGAATCATCCTTTGAGACAAATGCTTAGCATTAAATATCTGATTTTACATAGTCACTCAAACATAATTATTTAATTAACTTTGAAGTCTCTGACATTGAGAAAGGAAACACTTATCTCTTTCTTCTTCATTGGCGTTTATATTCCAAAGTATTGTGCTATCTGCTTCATGTTAGAATATAAAATACACCATGAATTCTGGCAGTATATATTTGTCCAAACACATCTTGGTGCTTGTGTTCTTCACCTAATGCATTGTTCCAACAGGTTACTCGGTTTCTGTTGGACTGGCTGACAGCCAGGCGTGGAAAAAGTGGGAGACGTGAGATTAGCAAACTCGAGTATGAGACAGTTCCATTTGACACTAACATTGTGATTAATAGTCTTGTGCTCCCTCCACCGGCCTGATTTGTTTCAGGTGTTTAACTCTATAGCCTGATTGAAGGTGAAACTTAAATCATGATCCGTTTCAACCTTGATGCGTAAAGGTGACTAATCCAGGGTTGCTGGCGCTGACACACAGGGCCTCGAATTTTCTCGCCTTGAACTCAGCCCTTGCAGTCTGTAAGAAAGCTTTGTCTCTAACATGGAATGTGATAGATAGTTCTGAGAAGCCTCCTTCTATCCTATTTATTTTTAAGTGTTAATAATATTATGATTTGTAGTGTGACTTTTGGGGGATGATACACATCATAGCTCAAAGAGAAGAAGAAAACAGCATAAGGGTTGTTTTTTTTATCAGTGGCTCAAAATGACATGTAAGTGAATCCCTGGGATTCATGGACTGTTTTGTAATCACATAGTTTCCTCCGAGATCAGAATTTAAGGATAAATGAGAGGAGAGATGCTATCCAGTTTGGGATGCATTTAAATAGTATGCTTCAATTATTTCACTTTTTTTTTTTTAGGAAAGTACTATAAATGTCTTCATGCATGTTATTTTGTTCCCTCTTGCATTTAGTACCACTTATTGATATGAACATTTCTCCGTTAGTAGTTACATAGGCCCATGAGAGAAAGGAAAGGATTACTTTAATATGAAAATAATTGTTGTTTTTGTTTTCTCAGACACATCACTTTCTCTACTTACCCTCCCCAGCACAGAGCTCTTGTCAAAGATCCCTGCATCACTCATGGGTTTCGTAGTGTTCCGAACAATGTTGTTGTCACTCCAGGGCTTTTTTTCCAGGCATTTTCCATGTGTGTTGGTGTGATGCCATGGAAGATATGTAAACATAGAGTATGTGTTGGGACATACTAGAGTATTGGCAGGGATGTGGAGTGGCCATCCCGCTGCTAGCTGGATATAGAATATAAGTCCCTGGGTGCTTTGATGATCTACACTTGTCCCCGTAGCACATGATGCTTAGAAGTGCGTCTGAGTTGCAGCTGTTATTAGTCAACATTTATTCAGCAGTAACTATGTGAATATCAGTTCTGTATGGGTCATGAGCTGGGGGTACTAGAGGCAAGATAAAGCGGCAGGTGGATAACACTGCTCTGTGATTTCATTACAGATAGCCACAGGCGCCTAGCACAGCTCCAGCAGTCCTCCAAAAGGAACCCTCACTACCAAACCTTGGAGCGGGATCTCATTGAACTACAAGAGCAGCAGCTGTTCGAACTTTTTGTAGTGGTGTCTCTGCAGAAGACGCCATCGGGAATCAGCTACATTCCCCAGGTCATTCAGCAGTTTCCTGGCAAGGTAAGAGCAAGGCCAGGCGGCATCCCCATGCTCCCGGTTTCCTCTCTTGTCTGTTACTGCCCCAGCCAGCTGCTGCCAGTGCTGTGCTTCCTGGAAGTCTGGCAAACAACTTTGATGATGTCTTTGTCAGGCAGAAGCTACAGCCGGTGGCGGGGTGGGAGGGGAGGCTGTCACAAGCTCATTCTCAAAATTCATTTTTAAATTTGGCATTTTTAGATATATTTATTTATTTTGTTTGGATATCTGCAAAGAGATTTACAGAGAGAAGGAAACACAGAGAGAGATCTTCCATATGCTGGTTCACTCCCCAGATGGCCACAACAGCTGCGGCTGGGCCCGTTGGAAGCCAGAAACCTAGAGCTTCTTCTGGGTTTCCCATGTGGATGCAGGGGTCCCAAGATGGAAGCCATCTTCTGCTGCTTTCCCAGGCACATTAGCAGAGAGCTGGATGGGAAGTAGAGCAGCTGGGACTCAAACCAGCACCCAGACAGCATGCCAGCACCATGGCACCAGGCCCCACATTCTTTTTTTGGGGGGGGGGCTCTTCCATTTAATAATCTTTAGTAAGTTATAAAGCCTGTATTTTCTCATCCTTAGTGAGAGGAACAATAAATGTGGCAGAATAGGGCAATGTTGTATAGCATGGACTCTGAGCCAGCACTCTGCATTTGCTGCTTATTAGCCCTGTAGCTGTGAGCTGTTAGCTAACCCCTCCCCGCCATGCATCTCAGTTTCTTCAGGTGTAAAACGTGAAGAGTCATACTAGTATCTACCCCTGTGAGCTAGAGTGAGGATGAAATGAGCTAATTTATCTAAAAACGCTTAAAACAGTGTCTGGCATTTTAAAAGCTCTGTATACTGTTAGTAAGGATTTAATGAGGTCATATTCATAAAGTGCTTATTGTAGTTCCTTGTCCAAAGTATTCAGGCAATAAATGGTAGTACCTGTTAACACTGTTACTAGGCTTGCTCTGCCTTTTTTTTTTTAAAAAAAAAAAAAGTAATTCATTTATTCACTTAATGAATATTTTGAAGAATACCTAGTGTTTGCCAGGATTGACTTATGGGATACAAATGAAAAAGATCTTATTCCTTGCCCCCAGCAAGCTTATTGAGCTCTTGAGCAAGCTAAACCTACACACATGTGGGTTTGCTGTGTATGTTGGGAAGGAGATTTGTAGTGTTTTTATAAAAATAGCAGCATTTTTTGTTGCTGATATTTATAAGCCAGATTTCACTTGCCAGAATTTCTGCCTTGCTGAAACACTGGAAAGACAGCCAGCTGTCAGCCTGCATTCCTAAGCAGCAGGAGCTTGCTGACTCAGGGTCAGGAGCAGCAGGGCCATTGCAGCCATCCCCACTCAGGACACTGGGCTTGGACTTTGGGCACTATGGTGCTTACTTGTTTTATCTTTGACTTGGTGCTGTGTAAGTGAAGTCTGATGGGACAGTTGGACAGGTGCCAAGGTCTCAACGCCTAAGTTCATGCATGATCTTGCCTCCTGCGGCCTCTCAAGGTAGGCTCTTGGATTGACCTGTTGCCTACCCTCCAGCTTCCCAGGCCTGTCCATTCCTAATCAGTGATTACTGCAACCTTCCCTCCATGGCTTGTGGGCACAGACATGGGAAGCTGAGGATCCAGGCAAGCGTTGTCCTGCAGTATCTCCAGGCAAGGCTTGGGGACAGACTTCCTTGTCCCTGGCTAGTGGGCCACTTGCATTCATTGTGTCATTGGGTGAGAGCAAGCCTTTCTGTTATTTCAGTCCAGGTACCAAGCACAGCCCTTTGGGGTTGTCTGGCTATGGTGGGTTAAAACACCCTGTGGAGAGATACCTGCTTCAACTTCTATATCCCTAGAGTCTCAGTTCTGAAGCTGTCCAGAGAGGAAATCCAGCAGCTCGTAGGCCACTTAGAGACCACCCTGCCTGCTGGGGACCCTGAGCTCCTGTGACTATGAAGGTGTACACTTATACCCCATGATCCTTAAACAGTTTTAAGATAGGGAATAAAAACCCCTGGAGCTGGGCCTGGCTCAATAGCCTAGTGGATAAAGTCCTCACCTTGTGTGTGCCAGGATCCCATATGGGTACCAGTTTAAGTCCCAACTGCTCCACTTCCATCCAGCTCCCTGCCAAAGGCCTGGGAAAGCAGTAGAGGATGGCCTAAAGCCTTTGGACCCTGCACAATATGGGAGCTCCTGGCTCCTGGCTTTGGATCAGCTCAGCTCCAGCCATTGTGGCTACATGGGGAGTGAACCAGTAGACAGAACATCTTCTGTCTTTCCTTCTCTCTGGAAATCTGACTTTCCGATAAAAATAAATGATAAAGTCTTTAAAAATAAGTAAATGAATAAATAAACTCCAGGAACAGGTGTTTGGTGCAGCACTTGCATTGCCTCTTGGGATACCTACAATTCCGTATTGGAGTGCCACTTACAGTCCAACTGCCTGCTAATGTGAGACTTGGGAATGAGCAGGTGGGAGCTCAAATTCTTGGGTCTCTGCTTAACATGTGGGAGACTCAGACTGAGTTTCCCACTGCTCTTGGCATTAGGCCCAGCTCTACTCACTATTGGCATTTGGGGAGTGAACCAGCAGGGGGAAGATCTCTTTTGGTCTTTGCTTCTCTGCCTTTTAAATAAAATGAGAATAATAAAGAAGTAATTAGGAATTTTTAAGCCAATTGCATGTTTAGAGACCACAGAAGAGATGAAAAAATTTGTACTTTTTAATCTTCTTCTTCTACTTAATTTTTCATGCCATTTGAATAAGGATCCCCCTGCATTTTGATTTTGCACTGTGCTCTGCAAATTAAGTAGCTGACCCTGGCAATAGGTGATTGTCTGAACTAGGGACATGCACTCACTCTCTTGTTATTTCCACCATTTTGCTCATTTAAGTTGCTCAGCCACTGTAGGACTTTGGGTTTATAACCCCAAGTTAACATTCTGCTAAAACAAAAACACTGAAAAACAAAAACCTAGTGCTGATGGAGACATTTCCTGCATAGGTTCTCATTTTGACACGTTTTCAACAGTATGCCTATAATAAGTAAACTCCTACGTTTAGTTTCTCATAAAATCTTTCTATGTAACGACAACACAATGCCACAGCAATTGTTGTAACAGTCTAAAGAAATGTACTGTAGATAGCCTGATTAAGTTTCCCAAGAGGAGGTACTTATTTTTTTTTTCCTCTCCCTGGTTTTGATCAGTCTTGCAATTGTAGGGGAGAATATTAGCCCAAATTAATAGGCTCCAAATCAGATAAGGAGCCAGTGATTGGCAGTGCCTCAGGTATGTCTCTGCGTGACTCATCTGCTTAACATCTTGGTGCTCAGGCACTCCCAAGTGGCGGGGAAGGGGGAGGGCTGATTCTGATGTACAAAACCCTGAATGAAGGTGTGAGGAATCATTTCCCAGTATAAAGATAATGGACTGATACAGTATAGAAATAATACAACTGATAATTGATTAGAAGACTTTTCCATTTTGGAAGAGCTTAATATGCAAGTTGTCCAGAATGGCTGCGTTTTTCAAGGCAAGTAAAGGACAGATCATTTGCATTAATTGTCTGAAAGCAGTATGGTAACTAGACTTAGTATATGCTTGTTTTTGTAGGACTGGCCTTATAAATTTCTAAATATCTTTCAGTGTAGTTAATGTCTTTTGGGTTTCAGCTAACATTTATTTTTATTTACTTATTTGTTTATATTTTTTAAGATTAATTTATTTTTATTGGAAAGTCAGATTTCCAGAGAGAAGGAGAGACAAAGATCTTTCATCCGCTGATTTACTCCCCAAGTGGCTGCAACAACTGGAGCTGAGCCGGTCTGAAGCCAGGAGCCCAGAGCTTCTTCCGGATCTCCCACTCACCTGCAGAGTCTCAAGACTTTGGGCCATCCTCAACTGCTTTCCCAGGCTATTGGCAGGGAGCTGGATGAGAAGTGGAGCAGCTGGGACATGAACCAGCACCCATATTGGATCCCAGTGCATGCAAGGCGAGGACTTTAGCCACCAGGCTGCTGCACTGGGCCCTCAGCTAGCATTTAATGTACAGTACCACACTGACACTTAAATAAAAGGGTATTCCTTGTGCAAATTTTATAGGAAGTTGCAAACCAGTAATTAAGTCAGCAAAGATTATATGCTAAAGAGAAGTGTTTATATACAGGGTAGATTTAAAAATAATGTTTTCTAAATATTCACCTGCCTTTTCAAGCTGCTCTGATGATTGATCAGACGCGTGTGCTGAGCTGACTAAATTTCTTTTCTGACTATACTGTAGAGTGGATTTTTATTTATCCTGTGTGCCATAAGTCCTAAGAATACTGGTTTTCTACTATGTTTGAATCCTGAAGTAAGATTTCTGTTGCCGGATTAGAAGCTCTTTTCAGCCATCTCTCCCATGTCGCATTATAGGATCTCTGCAGGCGCCTTTCTCAGTAACTGTAGGATCCTTTTTTCTTAGGACCTTCCCCAGTGCATCTTCATGGCCCGTTTTGCTAAGCAGCACAAGGCCACGTTGAGACAACTGTTCAGGCTTAGTAGAGACCTATTTTCCTGAGACCAGGGTGAGCTTTTTAATTCTTGTCTCCACTCACACAGAGAAATAGTCATCTCTACTGTTATCTTTTTCAGGGTGATCATGGCTACAAGCAATCCAAAGACATGGAAGAGAGGCTCAAAGTTATCCCCAAATTCTGTTTTCCTGATTCAAAGGACTGGGTGCCGACCTCAGAACTCAAGAGGTACATGGGCTACTTTTTCTAATTTCTCTTTCTTGGAACTGTAAAAATAGCTACTGAGTGTTTGAAAAATGGGCAGAGTAGGAGGGAAGCTACAGGAACACTAAGGATGCAGTGGGAGGAAAGGAAGAAAACAGAATTAGGGCACTTCCTATGTGCAACTCAGAAAAGAAAGACACAATAATTTCCTTGTCAAAGGGAAGTTTGACAGTCTCTGCAGCTTGCCAGGTCTACAGAAAAAAATAGATCTCCCCATTAGAAATGCCCCCAAGTGGAAGGAGGAGGAAAAGAAAAACTTGCAAGTGAGGACTCGGCTGAAAAACAGAAAAGACAGCAGTCTTCGTCTTGTTCTTCAAGGTGATAGAGGAAGCCACAGCCCAGATGATGTGTTACCCTGTGGAATCTGGTAAAAAGGGAGGTTCCAGTTCAGAAGGTGTAGGCATATTAAGAAAGAATTTTTTCTAGATACGAAGAGGAAAAGTACCATTTGTAATCATCACTCTCTCTGAATCCTGCCTGAAAATAGGTAACTGCTCTGTTCAACAGTGTAATTATTGATGACATTACTTAGGCTTAAAAAAAATTAAGCTTGGTTTGGTTAACCATGTCCCGTGCTGCTGGCTTGGTGGATGCCAGGCTCAGCTGCTGCCTGAATGGCTCTTCCCATAGGCCTCCACTACCCCCAGGCTAAGCTGCTGCCGTCTCATGACCAGTTTGGCCTGATCCCGGCTCTTGTCTCTCAACCGTCCATGGTGCTATGTCTGTGCTGCGAGCTGTACTAATTACATAAGCAGTTCTTTTGTGTTGGCCTGGCTGTTCCCCCAGTGAATTCTACATGTCAATTCCAGAATATTTGGAAAAGCACAAGTTAGATATCGCCAGCAATCTGGCTAGAGATAGTTATTGTAAATGTTTTCAGATGTTCCCTTCCAATCTTATTTTTGACCCCCACACACACATCTGTACATTATTCAAATATTAACTTCTTAGATTAATGCATTTCTATTAGCGACATCTTTAGGGGGGTTTTTTTTGTAAATTATCTTTGCATGTCTTTGACTCATGTTTTTAATCAATTGGTATTCTTCCTAATGACTGTTATATATTAAGGATATAATCTTATTGGTCATTGTTTCATATGTCCTCTTATAACTAAATTGAATTTGAAGTGGACACATTAAATATAAAAATCCTTAATAGCATATCTATGTGATTAAGTTGGAATTTGGGCAAAAGGAAAATAGACCTAATAGCTAAATAAATTAATAAATAGCTATAAATAAATTTTAAAAGGAGGCAGTGACATTGATAGCTTATTCCATACCTAATTCCTCACTCCAGCCCACGGCAAGGCATTGTCAAGAGATAGACATTGTGTAACAGAAATATGACATGCAATAAATATGGTATTAATACTTACCTTCTCTTTGACACAAATTGACTTCCCTTGGGCCCTAATTTTCAACTCTTTTTTTTCCATGAGGGTTACCATAAACGGTTGTTGGGGTCTCACAATAACTATTGCCTGTTTTTGCAGTGAAACCTTCTCCTTTGTCTTGACTGGTGAGGATGGCAGCCGGTGGTTTGGTTACTGCAAGAAGCTCTTGGTAAGTACCACACTGCTGCTACAGAGTTGATCAGGTAATCAAGTTAGACTGGCAACTGAGTGCCAGTCAGCGATGTTTGTGTTAAAGAGGCTATGTGAGCTTTAAATGGCAAGAACAAGGAGAGAAGTAACCATGGAATCCTCCACTTTACTCACTGGCTCCTTGTTTTCTTTGTTTTGTGTTAAGGCAGGGTTAGACACAGAGACACAGCTTCCTTCACTAGTTAACTCTGCAAATGGCTACGGCGGCCAGGGTTGGGTCAGGCAGAAGCAAGGCACCTGGCATTCCATTTGAGTTTCCTACACATGTGCTGGCTTCGGCAGCACATATACCAAAATTGAGTTTCCCACATGGCTGGCAGAGACCCAAGTACTTGGGGTATCTGTTTGTATTTTTTCCCCTAGTGTTAGTACGGAACTGGTTCAGAAGTGGCACAGCTGAGACTCAAACCAGAACGCTGCTGGGATGTCAGCATCGCAGGCAGCTTAACTCGATGCACCATGATGCCTGTCTCGTGCTTGCTTGTTTATTTGTAATAGAGAAATTACCTGCTGATGCGTAGCTGAATCCGAAGCTGGTTGTAACCACGTTTGAGGCACAGAGTGGAATGAACCAAACAAGGGAGTTCAGTTCCTCAGGAAACACAGCAGGGCTTTTTTCATTTACAGGTGCCTCCACTGACCCAGGGGCAACTCATGCTATCAGACTGATCATTTTTCCCATCTTCATTGTTCATTTAGAAGAAGGCCCTGGTTCCCTCTCTGTTCTGAAGAACACTAGTAATCCAACTTAGCAGAGACTTATGCTGTCTGATTTTGTGTTGGTTTTTCCTTTTAGCCAGAGGGAAAAGGAAAGCGACTCCCTGAGGTGTACTGCATGGTCAGTCGCCTGGGCTGCTTCAATCTGTTTTCAAAGGTGAGTGGAGCAGAGGCTGTGCGGAAACTGGCATTCTTTCTGAGCCTTCAGGAGATTTGCGTTGCTGATGACATCACTGGGCAGAAAGGCTCCCTCATGATAGATTAGGAACCACAGTTTTAGAGGCTTAAATGTAGATCTTTAATCGCGCTGCCATTGTTTTATCATTCTCACTTTGTTTTGCTGAAACTCCTGGCTCAGGGAGATCATAGATGGAAGCTCCTCTTGCCTGCTGTCTTTCCTAGACCCAAATTGCAAGACGTCATTGTTCGTGTAACCTTCATTGCCCTTTCTTAGTGAAGTGAAAAAGGGACCCTCTTCTAAAACAGTTAATTTTTATTTTTGCCTTTCTTTTTAAACATTTATGAATTTATTTAAAAAGGCAAATGGCAGAAAGGGAAACACATTCACTGGTTCACTGTCCAAATGGCAGCAATAGCCAGGATTGAACCAGGCCAAAGACAGAAGCCAGGAACTCCATCCTGGTCTCCCACATGACTGGCAGGGCCCCAAGCCCTTGGGCGACTTCTATTATTTTCCCACGTGCATTAACAGGGAGCTGGATCAGATGTGCAGCAGGTGGAACTCAAGCCAGTACTCTGATATAGATGCCAGAATGACAAGTGGCATCTTAACGTGTCATACACCAGCCATAAAATTGAAATATACTAGTAATTTCTCTTGATGCTGTAAAGACACCCTCAAGAGATATAAAGAATGCCTTAATGATTTTTTTTGTTGGTTGCAGAAGCTGATCTTTTAAATTTTGTTGGTGTCATGTTCAAGTTTATATGACAAGGTTGGCATTGTATTTTTTAACTGAGCTCATAATAAAAAGGTTTTCTATATCTAGATTCTGGATGAGGTAGAGAAAAGAAGAGAAATGTCTCCAGCCCTTGTTTACCCATTCATGCGAAGTGTCATGGAAGCTCCTTTTCCAGCCCCTGGACGCACCATCACAGTGAAGAGCTACCTCCCTGGGGCCGGAGATGGGGTAAGTTGAGCATTTTGAAAGGTATAGTGGCTACCAAAATGCAGGCCTGGTTCTGTTTGGTGCAATTTTCTAAAAGCCTACTGGCATAGTTGCCCCTTTTCCCTAAATTGTGAAGAATGTTTTGTTTTTGTGAAACACTGGTGAAGCAGGCAATTGGTTTGTGAGATATGTGGAACTAAGAACTCAAATTTTCCACTGTGCATGGACTGAGCCCCTTTTTAGTGATGGTTTGAATATGATACATAAAAGATGGAATAAAGAACCAGAACTTTGCAGAATACAAAGATACTGTCTTCAGAGTCTTGGGATTCGAGGACTGTCAGTCTTGAATTTGGGGGAGAATGACAGAATCTGTTAGTGTCATCATTTAGAAATTGTTTTTCAACATCAGCTCCCTGCTTACATTCTTATTTTTCAGTCCATTGAGCTTTGTCGACCACTGGATTCCCGATTGGAGCATGTTGATTTTGAATGCCTGTTTAAGTGCCTGAGTGTGTGTCATCTCATCCGGGTCTGTGCCTCTCTCCTTCTAGAGCGGAGGGTTATCTTTGTCGCCAACAGCCTAAGGTAATATCAAATAAATGAAACCAATCGCTTCATGCCTAGAGGTACTATTTTAAAATGTGGGCCTATATTTTAAAATGTAGGATTAGTCTAGTCTCTCAGTTACCAAATGCTGTAGAAATATGGATAATTTGTTTTCAAAGATTTCATCTATTTTGATTGAAAAGGCAGATCCACAGAGAGAAGAGACAGAAAGATCTTTCATCTGCTGGTTTATTCCCCAAAAGGCCACAATGGCCAGAGCTGAGTCAGTCCAAAAGCCAGGAGCTTCTTCTAGATCTCCCATGTGGTTACAGGGTCACAAGGCTTTGGGCCATCTTCTGCTGCTTTCCCAGCCCACAAGCAGGGAGCTGGATGGGAAGTGGAGCTGCCGGGGCATGATCCTGTACACATATGGGATGCTGACTCTTTCAGATGGAGGATTAGTCCATTGAGCCTTTGTGCTGGCCCCTTAAATAAATTTTAAGAAAAAAAAATCTCAATAAATAGGATATTAGAAATCAGTGGATATTCATATACTTGTTAATCTGTGGTCACTAGAGGATTGGTTTACACAGTATTCCCTTTCTTAACTGAGATTTTGCTTTCTGTAGTTTCAGTTACCTATGGTCAACTGGGTCCAAAAATATTCACAGAAAATTCTAGAATGTACAAGTTTCAAATAACCTTTATTATGGTTTATTGTTATGATTATTCTCTTCATTATTAGTTATTATTTTTTACTATGCCCTTACTCTGCCTAACTGATGTTTGCTTTCTTCTGTGGCTAGCACGCTGTCTAAATGTGGCCATGCTGTGGTTGCCACACTGTACCCCTTCACCTGGCAGCACACCTACATCCCAGTTCTACCAGCATCCATGATTGATATTGTGTGCTCTCCGACTCCATTCCTGATTGGAATCCTCTCTTGCTCCTTACCGCAGCTCCAGGACCTACCCATTGAGGAGGTGAGATGGAAAAAATGCTACCAAGGAAAATACTGGAACACAAAAAACAATAACTGATCTTTTATGAGAGGTAGCATTTTTAAAATAAATGCTGATATTATTGTAACTAATACATTATTGTGATACCATATCTTTCTGCTTTTTAAGTGAGAAATTCTGTGCTACACATGAATACAAAGTTTCATCTCATTTATAGTAATGAATCATAGATTCACTCTTATTGTGACAGGCAGATTCATATTTTTTAAGATTTATTTATTTATTTAAATATTCATTTCCTTTTATTGAAAGGCAGATATAGAGAGGAGGAGAGGCAGAGAGGAAGATCTTCCATCCATTGATTCACTCCCCAAGTGGCCGCAATGACCGGTGGTGCTGAGCCAGTCTGAAGCCAGGAATGCAGGGTCCCAGGTAGAGAGAGTGGGAAGGAGGAAGGGAGAAAGACAGAGATATCTTTCATTCACTGGCTTACTCCACAAATGGCCACAGCTATGAGGTCTAGCCCAGGCCAAAGCAGAAGCTCTCTATCCTGATTTCCCACCAGGAGTGGTGGGGGCCCATGCACTTGACTCATCTTCCCAAGCACATCAGCAGAAAGCTGGAATGAGAAGCAGAGCAGCCGTGGTGTGAACTGGTACTCTGAAATGAGACACTCACAGCATCACAGGCAGAGGCTTAACCCACTGTGTCACAATGCCTGCTCCACCCTCTTCATGGCTTGTACAATGACATGGTATAGTCTAGAGTGCAGCCCTTTTGTACATAGTTTGTCTTTTTATTTTCCAAAATAGTGTTTTTTAATGCATAGAAGTTCTTAATTTAAAGAGATTAACAAAAATTACAAGCCCTTTCTTTTGTTTTTGCTGTTTCTCTGTGGGCTGCTTAAAATTTTAGGGTTTTATAATAGATTTTTTCTTTTTTTTTTTAATGCCTTTTTTTTGAAAGGCAAAATTACAGAGGGAGAAAGATGTTCAAAGTTTACTACCTAATTGGCCACGGCTGTGCCAAGCCAAAGCCTGGAGCCCAGAGCTGCTTCTGCGCCTCCCTTGTGGGTGCAGGGTCCCAACTACTTGGGCCATCTGCTGCTGCATTAACAGGGAGCTGATCAGAAGTGGAGCAGCTGGGTCTGGAACTGGCTCATATGGGGTGCAGGCATTACATGTGGGGGCTTAGCCCTCTACCTGACAGTGCTGGTCTCAAGTCTTTATTTTGTATTAACTTCATGAAAATGTCCTCCTATTTTAACTCCTTTATTTTCCCTTCACTTTTGGCTCTAAATCCATCTGGGACTTGATTACACATCTTATTTTTTTCATGTGGACAGCCTTTTGTGCTAGTTCCACTTGTTGGAAAGACTGTTCATTCCCACTGCTTTGCTGTATTAACTTAAAAAAAAGTTTTGTGAAAAATTTCAAACAGAAACAGAAAATGTTTCCTTTTGTGCCACTCATCCTATTTCAGTACTTACCAAATTCTGACCAATTTTTACCCACATCTGTTTCTCTCTCAATATTACAATATGTGTATAAATAAGGATTTTTCAGATGTAATCATAATAATGCCCTTATCACCCTAAAAAATTTGTGATTCCTTCATGTCAGCAAATTCAGTGTTCAAATCTCTAGCTGTGTCATAAACTCTTGATTGAAACTGTTTTGAAATTAAGTCTGTATTGTGCATTTGGTTGATATTTTTTTAGTCTCTTAATCTGTTGGTGTATGTACCATTATTTTTTAGGCTTGTAATTCCTGGTTGTGTCGATGACCTTTAAAGATGGGCTACAACTTGGGCTTGATTTGTTTCCCATTGCCTGAGTCAAAACCTTCCCGATCTAGCAGTGCCCGATGTGTTTGTCTCTGAGTGTCTCTGGTTGAACTTGCCTGGTTCCTTTACTCCCCAGGTGCTGATAGTCGATCTCTGTGCAGACGAGTTCTTACAGGAGGTGAGTGACAACAGAGGTGATTACATAATGTTGGAGGATAAAAGGCTCTGTAGATAATTGGACAGAAAGTATGTGAAAGTACTTGGGGAAGATGACTCAGGCAAGGCTTTTTGATTCTACACTTAGTTGAATTGACACCGTGGCCACCATTCAAGATGGACTTGAAAATTTTGGCATAGATTTATAGCTGTTTAACCTGAAGAAGGAAGGAGGAAAAAGAATAAACGTCATTCTCAGAAGTAATCCTCCCTTCAGTTCCAGTTGGATTGACCTGGCACATCTCTAATTTAATTGAATCTAAAAGCATTTATTAAGCACCAATTATTTCTAGCTATTCTGATAGGAAGTCAGACTCTGAGGCTAAGCCTTCAGGCCTTAGTAGTGTAACAGCATGGATATTTGTGGGAGTAGAGAAGAAATATGCATGATGATTTATCAATAGTATCCTGAAAATTTGTACAAGGTATGGCAGGAACAAAAATTATTCTGGATATTGAGGTCAGAAGGAGGAGTTATCATTAAAGGCTGCTTACAGCAGTCCCCTGCATGTACACTGTGTGTAGATTTGTAAACACTGAAGCCTGGGATGAACAGAAGGTTGCCCAGGACGTTACCCTCTTTCAAAATCTGAATGGGTCATCACATTCAAAACCACATTGGTTCAGGGATAATGTTTGCAATATAGCCTAAGACTTACAGATGAGAGACATTGGGTAAGAAAGTCTTTCTAGAAAATTTTATAAAGTACGTATTTTTTAAAATATAGTTAAAATATGTGTATACCACAAACATCATGAATTCTACCCCAGGTAGGGAAGGATATTTCAGCCAAAATGTATACTGAGTCACCTGTGAGATTTTAGGAACCTAACTGATACGTGCTTAAGAGCTTCTCCCTCAGAGCCCACACGCAAGTCCTGTTTTTGTCTCTTCAGGTATCTGATGAGGATGAAATTCTGCCTTCTAAACTTCAAGCTGCCCTGATGCAGATTTTGGAAGAACGAAATGAAATCTTAGCTCAGGAGCAGAGCTTCTCACAAAGTACGGTGAATTACTTATGCATATTTACAATGCTGTAAATATGTTCTGACTTCCTGGAACTCTGTTAAAATAGATTATAGAAAGTGGTGTTGGAGAGTATGCACCTTAAAAATCAGTTTCCTTGTTGATCCTCCCTGTGACAGGCCTTCTGTTATTCAAAGACTTTTGTACTAGCTCAGCGCCATTTAATTTTTATTTATTTTCATTTTATTTGAAAGACAGAAATAGACAACTATCTGCCAATGAGGCATTTATATTAAACTGATAAGAACTGATACTATACTTGATCATAGCCAAAAAAACTGAAATGTGATCTTAGATACTTACATACATGATTTGAGCAATAGACATATTTTTAGAAATTGCTGTTATAAAAGCTGGGGGACGTGATGTGATGACCCTATAGAATGAGTACAGATAGAAAATAGACCACCTGCTCGGGGCCAGAAGGGGCTGGCTAGCCCTGATTTTAAGCTCCCTGTTGGCAGAGCTTGGGCTGGGTGGCCCGTGGGCTTCACCCACTACCTTTGGCACCTGGCCACCCAGTGGTGGGATCTTGATAGGGAAATGGATGGACCTTTAGATTCAGACCTGCACAGCAGCCCTTAGAGGGATAACAGAACTGGAGTAGTTAGTAATGACCAATGCCAAAGACCACTCAGTGGGGCACACTGAAGCTGGGGCTGGGGGCCTGCCAGGTGGGGTAGACCACAGTATTTATTAACAAGAGTCGAAACAGGAGACAGACAATGCTAGGCTGGGCCATGGTACTAACCAGCATGCAAGAGAACTGGGTCTGGTGACAGATTCTGTGGGGGATTTGGGGACCCACCCCTTTGATCTGCGATTTCAAGTGGTTTGCTTGAAGCTGGGGGTGGTGACAGGCTGAGCTAGGCATGACCATGGAATCACTAACTCTCATGGGTGCTGAGATTGGGTGCAGGCTGGATTGGTCCAGACTGTGGCACCCGCAGATACACCCAAGAATATGGTGTGGGGTGGACTGGGTCACAGCATCCACCTCTCATATATATGCATGTCAGAGGGGGTGGCCTTTGCCCAGTAAGGGCCTAGCACCCACTGGCATGGATGAGCTGTGGGTGTGGTGGAGGAACCAGGGCAACTTCCCTGATGGACCGTTGCTCCTGCTTGTGAGCATGTGACTCAGGCCTGGGGGTTGGTCAGATTGGGCATGGTAGTTCCAACTGTCCACATGTATATGGGGTGGTTTTGGAAGAGGGTAGACCAGGCAAGGCCAGGCCAACCTTAACTCACTGGCAAGTGCAGGAGCCAGGCTGGAAAGTGGAGCATGCCTGGCTAGGCTGTCATACCTGCTGGTTTGCATGTGTCATGGGTGGGAGTAGACTGAGCAAGGCCAGGCTTTAGCACTCGCCAGCGAGAATTGGGACAGGCCAGGCTGCAGCAACTCATGGCAAAGGTCAAGACAGGGGATGGGCTATGCCAAGCAGGGTCAGAGCAACCACTGGCATGCACAAGATCTGGGGCTGGGAGCATGTTTACAGCATGCCCCAGCTTGGTTGTGGTTCCCACCGGTGTGTGTGAGAGCCAGGATGGAGGTGGTCTGGGCTGGACATGGCTGAAGTATCCCTCAGCATGGGTGTGGTCAGGCTCTGGGGCAGGCGTGCCAGACTGGGCTATACTCCAGCATCCACTGGTGCTCATGAGAGCCAGAGTGGGTGTGGGACAGGTTGGGCTAGGTTTCTGCTCCCATTGGGTCACATGAGAGCTGCATCAGGGCATGGACTAGGTGTGGCTGGGCTATAACACCGAACAGTAAGAACTGGATTGGTTATGGGCCAGTTGGCCAAGGCTGCTGTTCCTATCAGGACAAGAGGTGGTCTAACTCAGCCTGGACCAGGTACTTACTGGTCCTCACAAGATCTGCCATTGAAAGGTGACCTAATAGAGGAGCTTGGGAAACTCCTTTGCCTGGGTGCAGTCCCAGGGATCCAAAGCAAGGAGCAGTCCAGAGGAGACCAGGTTACAGAATCTGCCAGCATATGTGTGGCTCAGGTCTGGGGGTGGCCCAGGCTGGACCAGTTCATAACACCCACTGGCAGATCTGAGAACCAGGATGGGGTGCAGTTTGGACTGGGTCTGGCTGCATCACCAGCCAGTTCACATTAGGACCAGGACTGGTGGCTGATTGCGCTGGGTTGGACAGCAACTCCAACCAGCCTGAGCTGGAATGGGAGTAGACTGGGCCAGGCCAGACGGCAGCATCTGCTGGCAAATGCCAGGGTAACACAGGCTATGCCAGACTGTGCCATAGCACCCACCAGCACATGTAAGACCAGGACGAGGGGTTGAGACAGGTAAGGGAGTAGTGGGGACTCCAGTGCCAGGCCACCACTCATGTTGGCAAGCGTGAGATCTGGAACTAGGGGCAGTTCATGCTGGGTAAGGCTACAACACCTGTTGTCCTTTATGTTAACCAGATTAGCAGGCGAGCCAGGCTGGGGTAGCTGATTTTATCCACTGTTAAAGGCATGAGCCAGAATAAGGGCAGGTGGGTTGGGCTTTGCCACAACATCGGCTGGCAAAGTGCTGGCACTGGGGTCATGTCCTGTCAAGCTAGGCCACAAAAACACTTGAAGAGTGTGAGATCCAGGGCAGGGAGTGGGTCCAGTGAAGGGGTTGTGGGCTCCTCTCTGATGTGGTGTAACTCCTACTGCTGAGCATGAGAACCAGGACTGGGGGCGTGCCTCGCTGGACAGGCAGTAGTACCCTCTGGTATGAGTGTGTGCTGGAGGGTGGAGTAGGTTGGGTTGAATTAGGCTTCAATGCCCAGTGTTGTATACGAGATCCAAATGGGATGTGAGGCAGACTGAATCAATCCACTGCATATATTGGCAGGCCCAGGAACCAGAAGTGAGGGGCGGGAAAGGCTAGTCCAGTGAGAGTCATTGGGGGTCACTCTAACTGGGCTGCAGCTCCCCTGTGGTACGTGAGGGCCAAGCATGTGTTGTGAAGGGCTGGGCTGGGCCACAGCACCCATTGGTTTGCTAAAGATTGGTTTGCTAAAGAACAAATTGACCAACTACCCCAGTGAAACTTCACAGCAAATTTCTGGGCCAAAGGAGACTCAGAGGTGGACTATGACAGCCAATTGGCCTCAGAAAGATTTCTTCATCCATAGAGCAGCAATCTTAGCAACATTTCAGGACACTAATATTCCATACAGGCATCAGCTCAAATCCAGTTGGTCTATTTCTCATCCAGATCCCTGTGAATGCATCTGGGAAAACAGTAGGTTTTCTACACTTGGAAGTGGCAGCTAGTGAAAACAGGGGAAAAGCCAGGAGTGTGACATTCCAGAAGCTGAGTGAAGAAAGGACTTCATAAAGAGTGAAGAGTTAGGCCAAAAGTTGCAAAGAGGTTGATTACGTAAGATGAGGACTGAGAATTGACCAGTGGGTTTCACAATGACTAGGACTTTAGAGACAGTTATCATAGCAGATTGAGTGTAATGGGGGGATGAAAGAGATTGAGGAGAGTTCAAGAGAAAATTGGAATGCCTTTGAACTTAAAGTTTAAAGGGGCCAGGAATAACCAACACACTTGAAAAAACCAAAACTAGGGGACAGGCCTTGTGGTACAGTGGGTTAGCCTGCTATGTGGAATACCCACATCCCATTTATCTGAGTGACTGATCAAATTCCGTCTCTGCCTCTGATCCAGGTCTCCTTTGTCAGGTCTTTATGCTTCCCTCTGTCATTTTCCCTTCAAAGAATGTAAGTAAAACTTTAAGAGAAAAAAAAATTCAAAGGGTTGCCTTACTAGACATCAAGATTTAGTATGAAATTGCAGTCACTATGATTTCTTTTTTATGCAGAAATAGAGCAGTGGAAAGAATAGAGTTCACATATATAAGGAAATTTAATTTGTGTCAGTACCAGCATTGCATGTCATGGAAAAAAGATAAAGCATTCAATAAGTAATATTAGGATAATTCTATATAACAGAGTTGAAAATGGATCTATACCTCACAGTATATATGAAATTCTACTGGATTTATTTTTAAAATATTTCTTTTTAAAGACAGTTAAAGGGAGAGGCACAAAGAGAGAGAGATCTTTTTAATTTTATTTTTAATGATATTTACATAGTTCAGAGGAATGAATGCCCATGTGGACCTCTGACTAGGGTGGGAAGGATTGAGGTATAGGGGAAAGTGGATGAGACCATTCTTTACAATTATTCATCTTCTTTCTGAATCCCAAGTAGGGAGAAATGGGGAGAAGCCACACCCAGAATCCTAACCACATCAGTACCTCTGGGGATGGGGAACAGCCATTCGATGTTATCCCAGGGTCCCTGATGTAGACAGAGCGTACTCTCAGAGTACTGCTCAAGTGGTTTCAATAGTTTTGGAATGTTGATTTTGTTGCTCCAAAGATGAGGAAATCCTTCCAAGATCCATTGGCTGATATAGTCTAACTTGGAGTCTCCATTTGCCCAGATACTTGCTATCAGTGCTTGGCTGGGAGATTTGTCCAATTTGTTCTGCCCTCCATCCTCTACTATGGTACTAGATATCCTGTGCAGGCCCCAATGTGTTGCCATATCCTCCATGCACGTCTGGGCATGCTGTCTACTGTACTGTCCTCAGCAACTGAGGAGGACCAACTTTGACATATGCACTCCACATTCAGATTACAGATCCTGCAATTCTCCCTGTAGTTGGAGTTCTGAGTCTAGCAGTTCAATTTGGAGGGAGGTCCCCAGAGAAACCTCATCTGAGGTGACCCCAGACCTGACTGCTGTGTGTGCCAGCTAGTGTGGAGTTCGGCTCAGTCTGTCACCCATATCAGCCTGCACACATACTGGTGGTTGCAGTTGCCAGGTCATTTCTGTCTCCAGGAGAGAGATTGTTTAGTACTGATTTACTCTCCAAATGACCAAAACAGGGCAGGGCCTGGCTGAAGCCAGAAGCTTTATCTAGGTTTCCCACATGAATACAGTGGCCCAAGCATATGGACCACCTCCTACTATTTTCCTAGGCACATTCGCAGGAAGCTGGATAGGAAGTGGAGTGGCTGGGACTCAACCCATCACCTGTTTGGATGCCGGAACAACAGGCAGCCACTTAATGTGCTGAGTCACAGCATTGGACCTAGTTACACTGGACTTAAATGCTTAAATAAATTTTTAAAAAATGTTTTATAAACAACAAAAGGATGTTTTTAAAGATTATTTTTTGAAAGGAAGAAAGAAGTTTTTTTCAAAGATTTGTTTTTATTGGAAAGTCATATTTGTATAGAGAAGGAAAAGCAGAAAGATCTTCTGTCCACTGATACACTCCCCAAAAGGCTGTTATGGTTAGAGCTGAGGTGATCTGAAGCCAGGAGCCAGGAGCTTCTTCTGCATCTCACATATGGGTACAGGGTCCCACAGCTTTGGGCCATCCTCTGCTGCTTTACCAGGCTATATGCAGAGAGCTGGAAGGGAAGTGGAGCAGCTGGGACAGGAACCAGCACCCATATGAGGTCCTGCACTATATCTTTTATATAATGTTTAGTGGCATACAAACCCTAACAAGGTGTTGTCTTGCATGGGAGAGTGGGGCGGAAGTGTTGATGGTGAGTGCAGGGAGGGTCCATCTGATGGCATTGCAGGAGAAAAGGGATGTGAAGGCAGTCTGTTGGACAGAATACAACAAACCTAGATATACATCAGAACCCAGCACAGGCACAGGAAGAAACCTTAGACGTTGCCTACTCAGCTGCCTTCACTGCACAGATGTTGACAGGCCCAAAGAGGCAAAGTAAGCCACTGACTGTGTGGCCACACTGTGTAAGCCACACTGACTGTGTGTTCAGCTGCTGTATGATAGGTCTCTGACTTAGCCCACGTCCCTCATTCCTGATCCGGGGTGGAGCCTGTGCAAAAGAGATTGTGAAGGAATAGCAGTGGCTAACCATGTGCCTATGGAACAAAAAGGAAGAAGCTTAACTGATGTGAGCTTTGAGTCTAATACCTAGAAGGCAGTAAATTAGGTCGTTATAGTGATTTGCAACCACTTGGCATGGGTCCTACATTTGCATTCATGAGATGCCATCATCCCAAGGAATCCCTTAGGTCATTGGGAGCCTCAGTTTCCTTAGCTATAAAATAAGATAATACCTACCTCACAATTATTTTTATGTTTGTACAAGTACCTAATACGGTGCTTGCTACATCTCTAATCTCTAAGCACTCAATCATTTGTTATTCATGTGGAAAAATCATGTGTGACATGAAATGGGAAAGTTGACAGAGAATCAGATTTGATGGGGAAACATAATTAATTAGGTTTTAGAAACGTTTTTCTATTCACAGTTTCTGAACTTCCAGCTGGAGTCTGATATGGTGAATTGTAGACGAATAGAATTTAGGTGCTAATGAAACAACCAAATCACAATCATTCATAGGTAATCAGAAAGTATAGAAGGTGAAAGAGCAGGGCCGCAGATCGGAGGCTGGAAATGACGGCTGTAACCAGCTCCATTCTGCTGCCAGTGAGCTCTTTAAGGCAGGGAACTTCCACAGGAGAAATCCTCTGAGGGTGGTGCTGAGGAGGCAGAGGGCTGGAGCACAAATGCTCAGAGATCATCCAAGCCTCCTGAAGCCTTTGCCACACCTTCAAGTGGGTGGCAGTAGCAATGCCCAGCCATTTCCTAATTGGTTGAGCGACCACCATTGAGGAACCTTTTGCCTGTAGGTTCCCGCCCAACAAGGAGGGGTCAGGGGATGCATAAAATCCCAAGGCCTTTCCTCAAACCTTTGGTGTCTCTCCCTCTCTCTCCTTTGGATAGGCACCCCACTCCCAGCTCTCTCTTGGGGAGGTGCTTTCCCCTCCCCTCTTCTTTCCACTTCCACCTGGTCATTTCGCAAATAAAACGCCTCTGTCTGCAATTGATTCCTGGCTTTTTATTTCTATATCAAGCTGAGGAAAGAGCTCAGTCAGGAAAGGAGTCAGGAGGAGCCCACTGACTTGTTAGCGCAAATGCAGCCTAGAAGCTGAAGGGGAGGAAGAGAGAAAAGCAGATGCAACTGGGATGGTTCTCCCTGGTAGCCTTTGAAAAGGCAATTCCAGTGAAGTCAGACGTGTGGCCCAGGCAGGGCACAAGATACTGGTGGAGGAAACAGTGAAGATGAGATAAGCATTTGCTTTATACAGATTTTTGATAGTACACAAAAGCCTAGAAGAAGCATTCCTGGATTTATTCTCAGTCCTGAAAAAAAAAAAAGTAAATTTCTCTTATTATTTATTTTTAAGTGAAAGGCAGATTTCAGGAGAGAAAGAAAGGTCTTCCATCTACTGGTCTACTCTGCAAATGGCCTCAGGACTTGATATGAGCTGATCCAAAACCAGCAGCCAGGAGCTGCTTTCAGGTCTCCCACCTGGGTACAGAGGCCCCTGCTGCTTCCCCAAGCCATTAGTAGGGAGCTGGATGGGAAATGGAACAGCTAGGACTCAAACCCATGCCATATGGGATGCCAGCACTACAGGAGAGGTTAGCCCACTGAGCCACTGTGCCAGCCCTTTTCCTCAGTCTTTGTTTTATTTATTTTTATTGGAAAGTCAGATATACAGAGAGGAGAAAAAGAGAGGAAGATCTTCCAGTGATTCACTCCCCAAGTGACTGCAATGGTTGGAGCTGAGCTGATCCAAAGCTAGGAGCCAGGAGCTTCTTCCAGGTCTCCCACGTGGGTGCAGGGTCCCAAGACTTTGGGCCGTCCTTGACTGCTTTCTCAGGCTACATGCAGGGAGCTGTATGGGAAGTAGAGCTGCTGGGATTAGAACCAGTGCCCATATGGGATCCTGGTGCATTCAAAGCAAGAACTTTAGCCACTAGGCCACTGGGCTGGGCCCTTTCTCAGTCTTTTAAGGCCTGTGACTTCTATCACCAAAGCCAGTGTTCAGAGATACACAAACCTTAGAGGAATTTTTCTTTTATTTTTACAGCAGATGTGACACTTGACTCTCTAGTATCTGAAGCATTTGTCCGATTTTTTGTGGAGCTAGTGGGACATTACTCTTTGAACATGACTGTCACGGAGCGTGGGGAACGTGTATTCCAAAGGGAGCCATTCCGGAAGTCCCACACCTCCCGAAGTGTACGCCACTTCCTGGATCTCTTCATGGAGACTCAGATGTTTGCAGGATTCATCCAGGACCGAGAGCTGCGGAAAAGTGGGGTTAAAGGTCTGTGGTACAGTTCTCCCTTCCTATAATGAGTGCTTGAACTTTGAATTGGTTCTTATGTAAAGTGTTTATTTTATAATAATGTTTAGCCATAGAAATAACACATTGCTAATAAGAACACTTCAATTGATTTCCAGTCTTAAGTTTTGGATAATTTTACCAAAAAGATGTTTTCTCATAGGTTTGTTTGAAGTTCGGGCCCGTCAGTATTTAGAAACAATTCCTGAGTCCGAGCCCAGTGGAATGAACAGAATTTTGCGAAGCCTCGGTGAGTTGCTTTGTTTTCCTGTTAGAGAAGTGTAGCTGAGAAGGCTTCATGACACAGACTTTATAAATAGATCACCAGGGTAATCTCAGCTAGGGCGACCGAAAACCATGACCCCAGTGCCTATGTGACTGGGAGAAAGGAAATAAATCTCTAAGAAAGAGTTTGGGGTTCCCTTTCCGAGTGGTCTGTGGAGCTGTTCTCCTTCAGTGAAGCTCCAGAAATAGTGCCTTTGTGACACAGTTTGCAAATCATGATTGTTCATCTTTTCTAGATCATGTTTCTTGAGCAGTCATAAAAACCATGATCCCTTCCCCCAGAAAAATCTATTTATGCCATACACATGAACTTAGCACTTAAGTTTAGGGCACTCAGATTTCCCCCTGGAGCCTATCCATAGATTCTAGAATAAAAATGTCTGGTCAGGTGCACGACTGATATAGCACATCAGTTGAGACAGTGCATGTCAGGCTCACAACCCTGTTAGGGTTCCTGAATTTGAGTCTCAGCTCCACTTCCAAGTCCAGCTTCCTGCAGATGTGCCTCCTGGGAGGCAACAGGTGATGGCTCAAGTAATTGGGTTCCTGCCACCCACATGGAAGACCTGCATTGAGTTCCCAGCTCCAAACCGGCCCAACCCTGACCCACACAGGCATTTTGGAGTCGGGGTGGAAAGTGGTGAATCAAAATAATACACAATAAATAAAAATGGATTGAGTTCACACTACTCTTTTCTCTCTTTAGGAAGTAAAATGAAATTTCTGCAGAAGAAATGAAATTTTGATTGACTCTCTCCATCCTAAATAGAACAGCAAGTGCCAAAAAAAAAAAAAAAATACTTTCCCAAGTGTCCGGATCCTTTGAAGTATTCTACAAAATCGTTGACCTTTAAAAGTCTAAAGAGCAAGACGCTCTTGGAGGACTGTCCTGATGCTGCTGTAGTCATCACTGGAATTGGGAATCGTCTGGAACCAATGCTCTGGAATTGTGGGGAACAGTCTGGAACCAGGGTTCTGTAGTTTGTGTTTTATTGGGTTCATTATCTGTATTTTGTGTTTAGTTTGTGAAGGAGAACAGTTTCTTGGTGTTGTATTTATAAAACAGCTGCAGATAATGAGTATAATGAAGAAACACTGAGTTCTGAGTCCTTCGGAAACATGAGAGAAGTGGAGAGCACTTAGCTATACATAATTTTCACCACTGTAATGTCATGGCAGCTTTTAACCCAGTGCATGTTTGGGCTGCATTAGGAAATCTAATTTCTGGCAAGGGGAAGCTCAGTCACTTGCAGCCCTCCTTGTTAGCACTGCTGTTGTTAACTTATAAAAGTACACATTTTGTAGCTCCTCCACGGTAGGTGGCACAGGAGTAGCTTATCCTTCATGTGTCAACATTGAACTTCGTGGAATTTTAGATAATAGGCAAATGTCCTCTCACGAGACATTGTTAAACTATTTTGGGGTGTGTGTGTGTGTACCATCTACCTTGCATTGTGGCACGTGTACATATATCATCTTATTCAAGCCTTTAATCAACTATATAAGAAAGATCATTGCATCTGTTTTGCTAATAAAGAAACTGGAATTCAAATAGGTTGAATAACTTTTCCAAAGTTGTACAACAAATGCAGAACTGAAGCCAGGTATTTTTTTTTTCTTTGAAGCCAGGAATTTAATTTTATTTATACAGATAAACTTGACTAGATGCAAATTTGAACTCTAGGGGACTACAGTTATTTAACAAGTTTTCTATTAAATATATCAGAGCAACCTGTCAGTGCTGAGGATAAGGGATTTTATTTAAATTATTGGTGCCTAGATGAGAGTTTTTTGATTCCCTGGAATTGTTGAGAAGTTTGCTTTTAATTAAACTGGACTTAGAATATGATCATCTCGAGCATATCCCACATCATGAGGTCTCCTACCATCTAAAGTAGTGGTAGGGACTGGAAAACAGGATTGTCAGTGATGGTGCAGTTTTCATTGACAAATTACAGCAAGCATTAGCTTGTTTTTTTCAACTCCTGCCGATGATTATAACTGGCATAGAAAATATTAAGATTTTCAAAACTTCAAAGTTATATTGTGACACAAAATATTGACTTGTACAGTGTAGTCATTGCAGTCCACTCATGTGTGCATAAGTGAATCACACATCACTTAACGTCAGTGCTATATGCTTCCTGTAGATACGGATCCTGGGCATAGCACTGAGCCTGTAAGAGCTTACCCCAATGGGGCGGCTAGAAATCTTACCGTTGCTCTTTTCTTTACACACCAACCATGAGTGAACAATTAGTGACTGGTTGTTTATAAGAAGGGCTTTCTGGGGCTGTTCTTGTGGCACAGCAAGTTAAGAAAGCTGGCATTCCATGTGGGTGTGCTGGTTGGAATCTCTGCTGTTTCATTTCTGATCCAGCCTCCTGTTAATGTGCACGGGGAGGCAAGTAGAGGAACTAAGTTCTTGCCCCTACAAGTCAGACGGGCGGGAGAGCAGTCTGACTTAAGCCTGGCCCAGACCTGGCTGTTGGAACCATCTAAGTCATGAACCAGTGAACAGAAGTCTCCCCACTTCCTCCTTTCCTCCCACGCTCCCTCACAAATGAGTCTCTTTGCAATGGGCTTAGGAGAGGTTTACTGTTGTGGAACCTGTTTATCCCTCTGTGAAGTGGCCCCTATTTCAAGGATGGGATATCCCTGCAATCTAAGGTTGCTTTCTATCCTTACCTGTGTTGAACTGTATTTTTGTAAAATGTTGTGAATTCTGAACATGTTTGTTAAAAACACACTGCTTAAGATTTGTATAAAATGTTTACAGATCTTTTAATGAATAAAAACATAAAAACCTCAGATTTCTTGATGAATTTTAAAGAAAATTGCTTAAAAAGTAAAGGTCTTTTACCTCAATCGATGGCTAGCACATCTGCCTAACAGGAAGTTAGAAAGATAATCTGAATTGGTGTTATGCACCCGCTTCATCGGGGGCGGTATTTGAAATGGCTGTGGGCAGACAAGGCCCGAGGTTAGCCTGCACGCAGGCTGAGTATGCAGTCCTAGCCAGTTAACCGCGGAGTGGCCTGGCCTGGCAGTCAGTGGAGAAGTTGCACCTGACGCAGCCAGAGTGGCCGTGAGGAAAACTGGTCTAAGACCTAAAGGCAGAAAAAAGCTTTGTGGGTTTTGCATACATCCTAACAACAAAATTAAAGATGGGCGTGGTATACTATTAACTCTTATTCTGGGCAGTATTAGGCTCACAGACCTAAAACTTGGCAGTTTTAGTTGGGGACTGATGCCACTTCCAGAGTTAGTGAATGAACGGTCCTCACCCAAAGCAAAGATTGTCGGGGTGCTGAGAGCTGAGGTTAGAAGGTGCGCAGGCAGGAGTGGGGCCTGGCACAAAGAGGTTTAAGGGAAGAAGGTGCAAGAGCAGCAAGTCGAGGCGGGAATGCACCAAGTCTGAAGCTGGTCCCCACCAAATGTTTTCAAGGAGTCGACTTCTCCAGCTAGCAGTATCGTAGAGGAAACTAAAAATCCCCAACTCTCTCCACCACAATACGACCACTTCGCGGGCAGAAAACCGATGACGGGCAGTAACGTTCGTCTGCTGACTGAGAAGGCGGGACTTGACGCCACTTCCGCCCACACAAGCATAGCCGTAAGTGGCAGGCGGGCGAGCGAACTGAGCATGCGCCGGAATTTGCTAACGTAAACGCGTGTAACGTCTGCAGTGCGCGCAGACGTCATTGGAACCTGCGCAGATAGAAAGCGTAGGCCAAGTTGAGCGCCCCGGCATGGCGGGCACCGGTCTGGTAGCCGGGGAGGTGGTGGTGGATGCGCTGCCGTATTTTGACCAAGGCTATGAGGCGCCCGGTGTGCGGGAAGCGGTAAGTGGGGTGGCCGGGCGCGCTCGCTGGCCGGGCCGGCAGGCGCACGTTCCCATCAACGTCCGTCTTCTCCTTGCTAGGCTGCAGCCCTGGTGGAGGAGGAAACCCGCAGATACCGACCCACCAAAAACTACCTGAGCTACCTCACGGCGCCGGACTATTCTGCCTTTGAAGTAAGTGTGGTGGCTCGAACCCGCGTGCCAGCCTCGACTTGGATGCGGTAGCTACGTAGACGTGAAATCTGCAGTCCTAGCGTTGACTGTTGCCTATCCGTCTCCTCAAAACAGCTTAGATAAGCCTTCTCCCGGGCCCTTTGGATATGCGTAGAAGGATTTTCTGGGGTTTCTCGAGCTCTTACTTTATGTAGAAATTAGAACCTTTTTCTTTTTTTTTAAGATAGTGCCCGTGCATAAATTCTCGAACCTTTTCCTCTCTTACCGTAAGCACGATCTGGTGTTTTTTAATGTCTCTATGAAATGTATGCTCCTTAGGACCACTGGAGGGCGGCCTTTTTATGCAAATGTAGCTTTTAGACAATTTGTGAATGACGGAATGGACAAGCTCCAAATATATAGCGTTTGGCTTCCTTATTCCTTATTCCTCTTTTTAAATTAAATATTTGAGATATAGGAGGAGAGGTGCTAACCTCTGGTTCTGTGTCCGGGTGCTCACAGGAGCTCAGTATGGCTCTCCCACCAGGTGGCAGGAACCCGCGTTTCTGGGGGTCTGCACTAGCTGGACGCAGGCCGTCCTAGAAACCCAACACAGGTTCTGTGATGAGGATGCAGGTGCCTCGCGCCATGTGCGACCATTAAGTCCCTGTAGCCTTTGTGTTTAGCCCAGAGGTGCACTGAGCTCCTGTCAGCAGGCAGATGGAGCTGGAGTGGAGCCCAGATTCCAGATCAGGCACTCCTGAGAACTGGGTGTGCTGGCATCCCAAGACATGTCTTAGCCGCTAGGCCACTGCCCATTAAGGTTCCTGCCTTGTTGAATTTTGTCAGGCATTTCAGTATATACACGTATTTCGTTGGTTGGTTTCAGCATTATGCACAATTGCTTAGTTTGGAAGGATCATGTTAATTGAAGACAGTAAATTCCTGTGTTAAGAGGTGGGACATATTCTTAGAAATGCATCTGTGGTCATTTTTAGCATTTCTCAACATTAGAGTGTACTCAGACTTAACTGGCCATTTGAGGTCATCAAGACACAATAAATGAGTGAATGAGATGGGGCTGCAGCGGGCTTAACAGCATTCTTCCCCCTTAGAAGTGAGAGTGTACAACGAGTGCAGTATATTAAATACGTGAGTCAGCAACTCCATTGTTTATCTGATACTGTGCATTGGAAATAGTTGTAATTGCCACATGTCCCTTTTTTTTAAAGATTTATTTTTTATTAGAAAGTGAGACCTCCAGGTCTCCCACCCAGGTGTAGGGTCCCAAGGTATTGGGCCATCCTCAACTGCTTTCCCAGGCCACAAGCAGAGAGCTGAATCGAAGCAGGGCCGCCAGGATTAGAACCAGTGCCCATATGGGATCCTGGAGTGTGCAGGGTGAGGAATTTAGCCTCTAGGCCATCGAGCTGGGTCCCCACATGTGTCCTTTTATGTAGGTGTCAGCGCAGTAGGTTTGTTTGTGGCAGTTTTTATTTTTGGTAAGGCAGTTAGAGAAGTCTTCTATCTGCTGATTCACTCTCCAAATGATCACAATAACATGGAGCTGGGCTAAGTGGAAACCAGGAGCCAGGGGCTGCTTCTGCGCCTTTCACCTGGGTGCAGGAACCCAAGCAGTTGGGCCGTCTTCCTCTCCTTTCTGGGCACATTAGCTGGGAGCTGGACGGAAGAAGCTGAGCAGCCAGGACTCCAGCTGGTGCTTGGGGGTGCTGATCTGGTTTAATCTGCCTCACCACAACATTGCCATCAAGATGGATGGTTATGTTTTAAGAAAGGGAGAGATGGCCTTGTGAAATGCTGTTTTCCCATGCTTTTTCTAAATGTTGCTACTCTGCTGGCTCCATTAAGAGTGAAATATGTTAATGCCTTCTTGTTGAACTGTTTTCTGAAGGTATCATGATGGCCTTCAATCACAGATTTTAAAAATTTTCATGCATCCAGCCTTTATATATAGGACACAGATTATTATTTTTGATAAAATTTCATTTATTTATTTGAAAGGCAGAGTTGCAGAGAGAGAGGGGAAAATTGAAAACAGAAGAGATCGTTCTTCCGTCTACTGGTTCATTCCCCAAATGGGTGCAACAGCTCAGACTGGGCCAGGCTGAAACCAGGAGCCTGGAACGCCATCCAAGTCTCCCGCGGGCATGCAGAGGCCCAAGAACTTGGGGTATCTTCTGCTGCTTTTCCAGGCCTGTTAGCCAGAAGCTAGACTGGAAGTGGAGAAGCTGGTATTCCATCCAACACTTACATTGAATACTGGCATCACAACTGGTGGATTAATTTGCTGTTCCACAATGTCTACCCCAATTATTTCTTATTAACAGCTGCTAACAGTGTGTACTGGTTTCACCAGCTCACTTAATCCACAAAATATCCGCTGTGTGTGACTGTATGTGTGTTATCCCCACAGATAGGAAAAATGCAGTTAAGAGAAGCTAGCTAGTGGACCAAGACCTTATCCATTCTTCAGTCTTTGAGATTACTCTTCCATTAATTCACCTCACAACTGTTTGTGGAGGTCTGTGCCAAGCATCATGTGCAAGGCCAGTACTGTCATGGAGCTTACATTCTATACTCCAACAATAAATAATTCAGAAAATAGCCAGTTGTTGATAATCATAAAATTGGGGACTCGCTGCCTTCCTCGTTGCCTATGACAATGCTTACTACGCAGATGTCAATCACTGAATTATGAAGCGCTTCCAGAGCAGCTGTGCTTAATGAGTGCTGATTGTATAGCCAGCAGGCCTGTGGTTGATGATTCTAGATCTTCTGCTCTCCTGCCGTGTGAGTTAGGCAAGGGTTTCTATGCTACCCTGCTCAAGGTCGCTTACAAAGTGTTTTTGTAGTTGCCTCCCACCAAAGGAGAGTTCAAGGGAAAGACATCTTTCATCCATCTTTTAGTAGAGGGAAAGGCGTCAGTTTAGTCCCTAGATGGCCACATTAGCCAGAAGTTCATCTGCGTCTTCCTTGTGGGTGGCAGGGGCTTAAATGCTTCCACCGGTTATTTGGGGCCTTGAGCAGGGAGCTAGAGTGAAAGTGGAGCAGCTGGGACTAAAATCAGTGCCCACGTGAGTTGTGTGTAATCTAACAGTAATCCCTCCCCCACAAAGAAACATACTTTTCCAGCAGAAAATGTTTCATGTAAAACTTTTAAAGCAGTTTAATGAGGTTCTGGAAGGCCATTTTTTTCTTACCCTTTAATGTAAGGGTTTGATGCTTTAAGCCCTCACAAAACTGGAATTACTTGAGATAACCAAAATACTGTGGTTAATATTTTACATAAACAGTTTTGTCTTCTAGACAGGGAAATGTGCAGAGCAGACATTAGGTACAGGACTCACTTGGCTAAATCCACACTTTGTGTATGCTGGGGTCCCATATGGGTGCCAGTTCATATCCTTGCAGCTCCACTTCCCATCCAGCTCTCTTCTTGTGGCCTGGGAAAGCAGTCAAGGACAGCCCAAAGCCTTGGGACCCTGCACCATCATGGGAGATCCAGAGGAAGCTCCTGGATCCTGGCTTGGGATCAGCTCAGGTCCGGCTATTGTGTCCACTTGGGGAGTGAAGCAGTAGGTGGAAGATCTTCCTCTGTCTCGTTTTCTCTGTAAATCATGTAAATATAAATAAATAAATAAAGGCCAGAGGGAGTGAGGGAAGAGAAAGGAAAAAAGGAAAATAAAAACAGATTAGAATTAGGTAGGCTATTTGACCACAGTGTTAGGCCTCAGGGCATATTAGCAGTTCCTTTTTCCCCTCCCCTAGTTGAAATGAACTAAGTATGAAAATA